TCCTCCAGATTGGAGAGCTTAGAAGAAGGGTACCGGTTCTTCTTCTTTTTTTTTTTTTATGTAGTCTGTTTTAGTAGGGGAACCGAATCTCCCCCCCAAAAAGGGGGGAGAAGGGTTCTGGGGGACCTAGCTAGTGCTTTTCCCCGGGTGGCATGTGGGGAATCAGACCACTTTTGGAAATGACCCCACCCCCAGCTCCATAAACAGGGGGTTGCTCTATATGGGGCCAAGGGGGGTGGAGTCGGAAGGCCTGCCTTAAGGGGAAGCAAACGGGAAGGCCAAGCCCCTGGTTGGGGTCCCCAAAGCCATTTGACACATACCCACTCAGGGGGAATAAGTAGGGGGCAAGGGGGGGGTGCTCAGTATGGATGTTGAACCTACGTAAGTAGGGTTGTTCAATGGACATAACTGCACTCGCACCCTTCTGATCTTGGTTGTTGCTTACTAAGTGGATTGATGGGTTGAACCTGGACCAGGGCGGCAGGGCGTGGCTGTTGAGTCGGCGGTTGTCCGGAATTTCAAAACAAGAACATGGACAAAACATGAATTCCAGGGCCATGTCCGTCAACCAATTCCATGTTTACGGGGACGGAAATGTGCCAGGGACGATTCTTTGTATGCAATAGGGGCCCAGTGGATTCAGAATAACCCTGTTTGTTTGAGGGGTGCAACCCCTGTTCGTTGTTTTTCCTTTTTTTGTGGGGGGGGGGGTCCGGTTCACGCTTGGTGCTCTTCCTCTGTGCAACATTGGTAAGGGTGTGTTTTTGTTGGGGTGCCCTTTTGGTGGCGGGCTTAGGGCAACCAAAAGGACAAGTGGCTACGGGAACACCGCGTTTTGGATGCGCCACCCGAGTACCTCGTCAGAGCTCTCATGGCTCCCGAACGGTCTGCTGGCTGGGCGCTGGCCATTCCTGTCCATGATCTTACCTGAGCTGATGCCCGGTGGTGCGCAAAGCACCGGGTGAAACAATGGGCCGCATGAAGACACGCAAAGCGTCAATGCTACAACCTATTCTATTCCAACGGCATCTTTCTGCAAATCAGATTCCATACCTCCCCCTACTCTAAGAACAATTGCTTTCTGCTAAAAGTTGCTTGGAAAGCCTGGCTTGCCAGCAAACATTATCAAAAAGCAGGTTTATGGAGTCCTGGTTGAACGGGGGCGCTTGTTGCGGCAGAGCAGCAGCATTTGTAGCCCCAGCGCTTGGCCTCTGGTTCGTAGAAGGAGCCCCAAACGCCCACGTGCCCTTTCACAAACCTCAGGTCTGCCGGATGGTTTCAGCTTCTCTCTGGGTTATCCGGGGTGGTTTCTCTTTACCCTCAAAGGCTTCAAACCGCTGCTGAGTGGACTGGCCAAAACAAGCTTGAAATTCTTGGGCCTTTACTAAGATATATCGGCTTTAATTTGCCAACCTGCCGACGCAAGGTGTGGAGCTTGCCAACAAAATGCAGGCAAGAACTACCAACCCAAAGGACTAACGAGGGATTTTCTGACGTCCAGATGACATGGGACATTTAGTGAGTCCCCCCATGTCCCTCCCATGTGAACCATAGACTGCCGGTCGTCTGACCAAACCTCATATGAGGGCGCCATCTTGGCCAAGTCTCACATCCTCCTTGTAGAGCGTCGACCTGAAAGAAACCACGGCGAACCTCTACCTTCCAAGGCCTGGCGTTGGCGTTGCCAAGAAACCTCTCTAGCCCACCCCAGGGCACACCCAACAACATTCAGATTCTGGTTCGTATTTAGCCAACCTAAGAAAAATAAGCTATCGTTCCGAGGAATATGGCGTGCGTCCCGAGCAGCCAATGCCTTCATGCACATGGGTGCTTCCGAAACAGACCCGAAGTCTGAACAAACAACGGCAACCTTTCCAAGCACGGCGTGGTGCACGGGAAATGCTTCGGCGCTGGTGCGCTTCCATGTGTGCTGAAGGCTAACCCCATGCGAAATCAGAACATCAAGGCGCTCGAAACAAACATGCTGTGGGTGTGCGTCTGTGTCCGTGCGTGTGCCGTTTTCTTTTTGAGGGGGCCCTTTTCCTAGGAAAAGGGGAAACCAAACTGAACACACAGTATTCGCTTTGGGGGCTTAAATCTGTACTTTAACAAACGGCAATCGTGTGGCGGGGCAGAAGGGATGGCACCGCCAATATGGATTCAACATTGGGGAGTTGTGCCATCTCCTTTCACCCAACTGCATTTGGGTTGCCGTTGATCCCTCTGCAAGCAGTTGTTGACTTTTTGTGGGTCTAATTCGGAAAATCCACCAAGTTTCAACCAAACAAGTTAAAGGCCAAAGATCCGTTACCAAAGACCCAACCACCTCTAAAATTGCCATACCCCCCAACAAAAAAACACGATGTTTCCAAGAGGGCAAGAAAACTGTTTCACGTTTTTGAGTCTCTAGGAAGCCATGAAGCGCACACCGCCTTTGCATGGGTCTTGCCTCACGCGCCGTCTGGGGCGCCCCGCTCCAGCAATCGCTTGCCAGGTGCTGGTGTCACTTCCGGCGCCGCCTGCGGATGCAGCGGGCATCCTCTATGTCCCTTTTTGGGTTACCTCCAAACATCACCCTAAGTTAGAGGGGTAGGAAACGAGCCATTCTCCTTTTTGGGTTGCCCCCCCAAAATTAACGATGGTTTGAATGGAAGCCACCAGCAAGTTGATCAACTGTTGATTTGGGGAAATCCAGTGACGCCTGAGTCACCCTTTCCGGGAGTGGGTTGGGAAGATGATTGTTCTCGCGGCTGAAGTGTCCATGAGATTGGACCATGGCCGCATCTAGCTGAAGCTCAGAGGGTGTTGCAGCAATCCCTCGACGCAAAGTGCATCTCAGGGTTGGCCTCCGCTTCCGCCATTGGGCAAAGCGGCGTGGCCGGGAGTGCTTGGGCAAGTGTTCCGCAAATGATGTGTGTTGCTTTTGGCCGGTGGTCATGGACTGGGACATGGGTGCCGCTTGCTTGTTGTTGTATGGGTTCTATCAGTTGCCTTGCTACAAGTATCCTGTATAAGTCTCCGAGCCAAACGCCATGCGACCAAATGCCAGATCTAACAACGGTTCCTTGTCCCAGGCCATTTTCGCCCAATTGGGAACCGCCCTTTGGACGATGAAAGAAAACAAAAAGGCGGCGTTAAGCCCTCAGCCTGGGGACTTTGCAGTTGTTCCACCATTCGCTTGCATTTCGTGGTGCAGCTTGCAGTTCGTGGTAGATGGATTTCGCAAGCACCCACCGCATGAGACAGACCAAACCCTGAGCATCTCTGAGCCGTCCATGGGCCCCCGGAAACCGCGAAGCGCTCCTTTCTCCGCCTTCCGCTTCTCCGGGGACTGGCCTTCGGGTACCTCCGGGTACGCTGCCCGTTGGAAATCGAAGCTTGGCAAGATGTCGATACCTCCATCGCTGACTGAGCAAAAACTCCTGAACGTAGCACTTCATCAAAGTGGTGTTCGGTAGTTTAGTGTTCCACGAAGCGTTCAAAAGCAGGTTGTGAGGGCAAAAGAGGCATCTTTGAGTGGACCGCAGCCTGTAGCTAGATCATGCTTTATGGGCATGTGTGTTTATACATGTTACCGTACATGCACATTGCGATCCTGGAAAGGGAATCATTTACATAGAGATTTATGCCAACAACTTGGAGGGTGTTCCAACCAACAGAAAGCATATCCAAATGCCTGTTTCTTGCAACTAGGGGCGTGTTTGGGTGCTTCAAAGAGGAATCGTTTGAGACAAAGCCCCGATTTGCTGTGTGATCTCGTGGTCTTTTGGCGCATGCCCAGTGTTGCCTGCCGAAGGCATGGTAGAAACGCGCGAGACAGGCATGCAATCCGCACCCGTTCATGCGTCCGGCTGCCGTCTCAATTGGTGTCATGCGCTTTGCAAGGGCCAGTATTTTGCCAAGGTCAGCCCCTGCTGTGTGCTACATGGAAGGTTGACAACCGAAAACTGGCTGACTGATAACTACTGAGCGCTGGCAAAATAATGAGCCCAAAGTGCATGAGATTCCGAAGAGTTCAAGGCAGTGAATTGCGAGAGACGAAGCGTGCCACATACGGCTTGGCATTTGCTTCGCTTGTGGTCGAACATGAAATTGGACAAGCCCCCTCGTATGCTTTTTCCCTTTGGCTCCCACTATGAAAAGAAAATCCTGGGTGGATGTGACATTCCTGGGACAGAAGCACCAGGAGCGGGGTGCTTCGGGATGGTAACCTCTTCCTTGAACCCCTTCGTCCAGCGCAGATTTTGCGTCTGGAACTGTACATGGCGGCCTCAGCCAAGTGCCTGGCAACGGGCTGGCACCGCCTTGGCAACCAATTGCCTCCGGATATGGGTCTCTGTTAGGGGGAGCTGGGCTTTTGGATGGTTTTAAAGGGGAACCAAGAAAAAAACACTTCCATTCCTTTTTTTTGGCGGGGGGGGGGGGGTCCGTATTCGAAGACACACCCATATCCACTTCAGTGGATCCTTGTACGGAGTATGGCCCATAGGTTCTGAGGTCTGCAACCGATTCAAATCAGCCCCTGGGCGTTTCAGCCCGAGGTATCTGTCAAACTGGCATGGCCCTTAATAAGTTGTCCACTTTTGTGAGGGAGGGAGCCAAAACCAAATGTGACGTGCTGGATAGGCAGGGAATTCCTCCAAATGCCAACCAGATCATTGCCAAAACCCCGCTTGATTAAGACCCAGCGATATGAACAAACAAACACTATAAACTCTCCCTTGTGGTTTCTGAGAGCCAGCACCCTGAACACCAAACCACTAAACGTCACTAAACTCCGCGAACCGGATGCATGAACATCCCCTCTTCAACAGGGATCCTTACACTATACACCGGAACATTGCCTTGTCAATGGGTTCCCTTTATTTGGGTGCAAAAAAAGCCATGTTTCAAATGGTTCCAACGTGAATTTCTTGTAAGGAGCCCAGTTTCCACTTCCGCCGCCTTCGCGCCTTTCCGCCGCCCTTTTTCTCCGGCGTCGGACTCGTTTCGCCCGGATCTCAGGCGCTGGGTGCGCTCGGCGCTGGCTCCTTGCGGAAGATGGCGCGGACTTGCGGAGGGCCCCACCACCTCAGACGAGGCCCGGCGGGTTGAGCCCCGGGGTCTTAAGGGAGAGGGGGGTCCCTCAATTCCACGGGTTTCGTCTTCACCATAAAAGGGAACATGGAAAAATGAAGTATTGGGTTTAAACCAAGAAGACCTGGGCTTAAAATGGGGAATCCAACAGAGGTTCTTTGAGCAATACTGCACTATGGACAAGACCCACTTCGCACCAGTTTGGATTGGTGGTTTATCAGCCAGTATTTCTGGGGTTTCAATTATCCCTAGTGGTGCAGGATTTTGTCCACCCACTCACTGGGCGTCCTTTTGGACAAATCGCTCGCAGTGGTAAATGCTTAGAACCAAATTGAAACCAGTGCCATCCTTCAACCAAACTCACCTTCGGACACTTATGCCTCCGAATGTCTCGCTTCCCTTTTCCTAATTGGCATTTGTTATTGTCTGGAAAACCCCTTATAAATACCTTCTTGGTTTTTGGGTCAGGGGATGGCAGTCGTCCGAATCATGGCCAACAGAAAGTGGGCGCCAGCTGGGGCCGCGACACTGCAGTGAAGAACAAGCAAATGCCAGCAGTGTAGATGCCTGGCAAGCGGTAGCCCAACTGTTCTGGGGGTTGAGTATCCCTTATTTTCAACCATGGTTCCTTTCAAACACCAGCCGTTTTCCCTGGGCTACCAAAGGTTTTCTAGAAAGGTGCATGAGGAAGGTACTTGTCGAAGTACTCCGACATGCTCTGACTAGATCTCCTTCACTCCATGGGGAATGGCAGGGGGTTTTGGGAATGAACCTTGGGGTTCCTGAAATTCGCATCGAACCAGCAAGACCAAGCCCCCTCAAGCACCCACAAGACAGCAGCTGCCAACCTCCACACCTTCAAAGCACCAGGTTTCAAACCCTATCAAGATCGCCTTTTTGATTTGTGAGTTGCCACCGACTGCTCGGTGCTTGCCGTGAGGGGTGGGAAACCCGATTTGGCCTCTGAACACGGAACCTATTCAAACCACCAGTTCGCGGCTACGTGATTTATACCTCACCCTTTGAAATAACAAACAAACATAGCCGCATCACGGCCTACAATGTAGCTCCTCCCAGTCTCCTCCTCTTGCCTCAGGCCACTGGCTCTGGTCACGCGCAACATTGACCCAACAATTCACCGAAGGTATGGCCCAAACCTTACCCGTTTTTCGGGTGGGGTCTTGGATTGACCGTCGCAACCACGCCCCCAACAGCTTCAGAGCCCGACCAAAAGGAGTCTTTTCCTTGGTGCCCTTGTTATTTGTAGATACTCAAAAGCACAGCCAAAGGAGACTAAAGGAACCCAACCGATTGCTGGAATCTTGCGGAGGGTCCTTATGTAGTGTGGTCTTCTGGGATTCCGCGGGCGGATCAAATATGGGTTTGTCATGTGTGTCTCTAAATGGAGGATTTGCCCCCCCCTCCCCAAAAAGGGATTCTGTTTCCACTTAGCCAACCCCCATTCCTGGAGTGAACGAAAAAAAAAAAAAACATGCAAACAGCAAAAGGCATCTGAAAAGGCATCTGAGTCACAATCAAAACCCGGTATTGAAATGGTCTACCCAGAACCATGTAAAGAATCAAGAAGGCGGCCGCAGCTGTTCATGGCTGGGATTGTCCCTTACTAACCTTCATTGTGGCTCAAGAACGCATGCAAACACCAATAGGCATCTGGGGTCCTGGCACCTTGGGCAGCTGAAACATCTTCAGCCAGCCAAGGTCTTCCTCGGCCGGCCTGCGCGACGAGACTCCGAGAGGCGTATGCGGCCCCAGGCCCTTCGCATTGGCAAGTCTGAAAAGATATGCCCCAAAACGGCGGGCCTCCCTGTTGATACCACTAGCATATGGGCCATCATAAACCAAACACAAACACAGACCCAAACGCACACCCAACAGAAATTAGCAACACACAAGCACAGACACACACCCAACAGAAATTAGAACACCTCTGCCAATCCTTTGCTTCGTATTTCATGGGGAAAAACGGTCACCTTCTCCATGGCGCGCAAATCCCATGGCCCCTCCCGGCCTCCAACGCCAGGGCTTGAGCCTAGGCTTGGGGCCTCCCACCGGTTGGCTTCTAAGTTTGAGGGGGGCATGCACGGAACGCTGCAAGTGACCAGGGCTGACGTGGTTTAACGTCCAAAGCTTCAATGCACTGAATCCCTCCAGGGCAAAGCTCTCCATGGTGCGGTTTCAGCAGTGGTTTGCACCTGGCACTTCGCGTCGGGTGCTACTTGGGTGGCAGAAACCCAAGAATAGAGCTTCATCCGAGCAAGCCTCTTGATGGCACATACCGGGCCCAGTCCAGACATGCTCAAAACGACCATTGCTGAACATCCCCAAAAGCAACTCTTCTAGGGGTTGATTCCTTTTCCATTCTTTTCAACCATCGTTCTTTTCAAAAACCAGCTGCTTCCCCAGGGTTTTGGGCGGTTTTGTAGAAAGAAGGATGCCTGGCAAGAATGGTTGGAAGCGTCCCCTAGAATTCTGAGAACTTCCAAGCGGGATCAGCCTCACGCAGATCTGGGCATCCGACTGCCTCCAGGGTGGCGGGTTCTCTTCCTGGCAACAGGTGCTCAAACAGAGCCACCGACTGGGATCTCTGCTTCGGCCGAAACAACCCCTTGGGCCTTGAAAAGATGTGTGTCTCAAAACGAGGGGCGGCCCACAAAAATGGTGGTGCTTAGATCTCTGCAAGGTCGGTTTGGGGAACAAACCCGTAGGCCTTGAAGGGATTTGTGTCTCAAAACCGAGGGGTGCACCTTTGGGTGCCAAAAAATGGTGGTGGGTGTTTGGTTGCCCTGCAAAATGAGCCACAACAAGGTTGGTTGCCCTTTAACATGAGCCAAACAAGGGTACCCTCAAAGAAGACACCCCCGTTGCTCTGATACGGTGTCAGGTAGTGGACCCGCTGCACTAGCAGGTTGACATGTCCTTATCAAGCTTCTGTGATGCCACTATGCGGTTCCCATCCCCATGAGCAAAAAGTGACCACCAAACACCTAACTTTCCACATGAACCCTTCGCTCTCCAGCCTCCAAAAGCTTTCACAATTGTGAGGTATTTATGGAAAAGGCCTAAATCGCAGTGATTTCTGAACGGGGGGTGCATGACACGAAAGTCGGAACCCGGTGTTGCCTGCAGGAAAACCCCACACCTCTAGGGGTTGATTCCTTTTCCATTCTTTTCAACCATCGTTCTTTTCAAAAACCAGCCGTTTTCAATGGGATTCTGGAGGTTCTTTAGAAAGAAAGATCCCCAGGAAGAATGGGGAAGGTACCCGTAGAACACCCGGGTCCCAACTTTGCTGCGCTTTCGATGTCCGGTTTTGTGGTTGCACGTGGTTGGTTCACTCGAGGCCTGTTAGAACCCCATACTAGTATGCCAAAAGCACACTAAGGAGTGGTAAAGGCTGTCCTGCAGAAAACTTGCCTAGGGACTTCCTCCAGGAACCCTGCAACGGGCTAGGCATGTTCTCGCCATTGGTGGCGCCTCCTCATCTGTGTCCTCCTCGTCATCCTCCATGTCCAGCACCTACAAGAAGGGTCCAAGGACGATGGTCGGCCCCAGTGGATGGACAAAATCCGCTGCGCACCACATGCTAGGTGGCTTACTCCAGTATCCATAGGGTGAACTGGTGCCGATATTGAAATTTCGCAGTATGCCTTCTTGGGTTGGTTCGAAGGTTGCGAGTACACCCGCCTGTTCTGGTATTTTGAGGTGCCCAGTGTCATCCCCTCAGTTCATGGCAGGGATTATCTACGGCTGCTTTTTTTGAGCCCCGGGCAAAATCACAGTTTCTCCAACAGGGACTGGGAACATTGGGTGGCCCTATGGCGTCTTTTTGTGGGAAATTGTGTGAACCTCCCCGTGTACAAAATTTTTCGGACCCCAAAATTGTGGCTTTCAACCGTTGGCTTCCCTTTGAAACCACCAAAAACGGCACCCTTCCCCCTTCTCTAACATAGCACGCACCTGGAAGGCACCTGGAAGTTCATTCCTCAACGAACCCCCTGTGAAGTGCTATGTTAGTGGGAGGGAGGCTATCCCCCCCCAAAAAAAAGAAAGAAAGAAACAAATACCAGACATGTATGCATTTGTTTTAAGAGGCCCATTCCCCCCAACCCTCCCCTCCCCCCCGGCCGCAATGGCCTCCGAAGGTCTCGGAGCCAGCGGCGCCTCATCGCCAGCCTGGGGTCCGAGTTCGAGTTCCTCCGCGTGGGCGGAACCGAAGGCTTCCATGTTCGAGCCCTTTCCCGAGTGCAACAGGGAAACCTCGCTTTTGAAGCTTTGGAAGCACGTCCTGAGTGCCTTTTCAATTTCCTGAGTGGGAAGAAACCTCGAAGCCGAAGACTCAAGGACCCAGAGACCATAATAAGCAACGGTGACGTTGACGTTTTGTGGTTCTTTTGTCTCGGCATCCCTCCCGAATGAAAAGAACAACATGTTGGAAGCTCGGACCTATATTTTGGTACGAGATGAGCACCTTCTTGCCTCGACCTTATGGTCAGTTGCCCCTTAGGGATCAGGGGAAGATCAGGTTAACCTTCTGATCACATGACTAAACATGAATGAAATCGGGGAAGCCAAAAGCTTAAAAGGTCGATTGGCTTTGAAGAAGTGGGCCAATGGGAGCTCAGCTCCGTGGAAAGCAAAAAGGCTTTGAGGATCGAAAGCAAGTGATGCCCCCAAAGCTCCTTTTGCGGTGTCAGCCGTGACTTGGGGACATACTTGTGGACATGTTTCAAACGATCAGACCTCTTTGGAAAGGCAGTGTTCACAGGTGGCAACCCTCGGAATTGGGAGCCATCGGCCTGGGCAAAAGCAGTATAAGGCAGGTATTGATGGAAAGTCAGTCCTTTCACAAGACCACCCTGGTTCAGCAGGCGGAAAAGTCTGAGAAGTGCATGTCTTGACATTCCTAGTCAGCCCGCCACACCTGCCCTGCGGCTTTCCCAAGGACCTAACAAGTCCCTACTAACCCCTTCAGACGGGGGGGGGGAGGCAGCTACACCATATTTGTCCCGCCGACCGCCCAACCGCGAAAAGAGAGCAATCACATCAAGCCAAGGCCCGTGCCTATCCTGGAGACGTTGTTCATACTCCGTTTGCCCTTGGTTGCCAGCCTATTCAATAAAGGGCAATGAAAACTGCTAACACCCCTTCGGGAAAAGGTGTACCCCAACTGGTTTTGGTCCATTTCTGGTGGAAACAACGAGTTAGCGCATTTTTTTTTGGGGGGGGGGGGTTGGGGCTGGGCAGGGGCGTCCAACTGCGAGCAACTCATGAATGTGCAACACTTGTGTGCCCTCCCCAACTGGTTTCCACAAACAGTATGTATATACATATCTGAATATCTATCAAATCCACCGACATTGTTCAGCGTGTCGGATTCTTACTAGAGGATAGCGGATGACAGGTTTTGGGGGGGGGGGGTGTCCCACGTACCGCGCGGCAATTTGACGACGTTCCACTAAACGTAGTCTTCGGGGAGCGCAAAACAGGGGTCCCAGGCTCGATTCCCCCTGCCGGCTCTCTTGCTGGCTGGGGCTTCCCGAAAATCTGGGAAAACTCTGTGTTTTTGGACGTCCTCTTTGCGAAAACGCTGGAAAAACCTGAGGTGCGTTTAAAGATGTCAAATATTCACACGGTGGTGTTTGCTGGATCGTATTGAGCTCATAATCATGACAGCTTTAAGCTCGGAAAGGATCACCGAATTGCACTTTTCAGATGCTCAACGTGCAGGCTTCATTGCGCTTCTTGATCGTCTTGGCTCGATCCCCTGTTCTACTTGTTGTGTCTTAACCTTCCAAGTTGGCTGCATTTGGCTGCGCTGGACCAACAATGACACAACATTGCATGCAGACATGCACGCAGTCAAGCTCCAATTTGCCTGCGCTACCGCGAGCTACCGCAAATTCAAGACTCCAACGTAGGCTTGCCGTGATGCAGACATGTTTCACAAAGCTAGCTCTCCTGCCACCAGTGTGCAACATGTAAGTCGGAAGAATCCCATGGTCGCTTCAAAATGAACATCCCTGGCGCTTATGTTTGTTTGGACATTGTTTGTCTCATTGAAAGTATTGGCTAGGGGAAGCCATCAAAACTCACAATGACCTGAAATTGAAATTAGTACTAATTCCGACTTTTTTCGGAGGGTGCATTTAAGCTAATCACTGTTTTAAGGGCAGGCCCCCCAGGGGCCTGCCCTTAAAACAGTCGGTAGCGCTACCGACTGCTGTAAGCAACCCCCTGATTATGTTAAATGCACTTTGGACTACCACCAAAACTGCTTAAAACAATCAAACAAGTCGCCCCGTTGATCTCAGGGGGTTGCTTACAGCAGTCGGTAGCGCTACCAACTGTTTTAAGGGCAGGCCCTTGGGGGGCCTGCCCTTAAAACAGTGATTATCTTAAATGCACCATGCGTTGAGGCCAAGATGGTACATGTTACGTGATGATTAAAACAGTCTGCTTTCTTGAGTGTGTGTTTTAAGCCGTCGGAAAAATCAGCGCCAAATAATCAGGAAAGTCTTCGATGGGCCTTGCTGTCAGGTCATGGTCTAAGGAGTGCAGGGCCAAATGTTTGGCTTCACTTTTAGATTCAGACTGGGCATAGTGGTTCAAAAACTCAACAATTGGAGAGGGACACCTCTGCTTCAGCCCACTGGCATGCGAGACAGAGTCTACACATAGCGCAGCAGGCCCTGAGCAGTATACACCCAAAATGAAACGTTTCCGCAGTTTCCTTACAATGCCGTGTCTATCCAGTTGGCTGTGCTGACAGAACAGCGGCATGAGCTACAAGAGCAACAGTTGTCGACTCAGATTTCTTTAGAGCAAGGGCGCAGATGAACGCGCATTGGCTTGATGATTACCATCACATGCAGACAGGACCAGACTTGCTGCCAAACTTCAGACAGCAGCTGCATTAAAAAAACGCCCAATGAACACGATGAGCAGTGATTAAACGACTTTCTTAAATGCACCCCAGAAACAGTGTTTTTTGTGCGGGAAATACTGGGGAGCAAAGCGGAAATGCAAGGAAGTGCAAGGAAATGAGGGGAGGAAATAGGAAGTCGACAGGACAGGAAAGCAACGGGAAATAAAAGGGAAACAAAGGGGAACTGAAAGGGACATGAAAGAAAGGGAAACAAAGCACAAGGAAACCAATCGGCAAGACGAGATGTAGGGAAATGACTCGCAACGCAAGAACGGGACATACATGGAACATGAAGCGGACATACCGAGAAAATGTCAGGGACATGAAGGGGGAGTTGAAAGGAATGGAAGGGACATGACCAGGACATCATGAGAAACGTGAAAAGGACATGAAGGGGAAATCAAGGGGAAAGCCAGTAGTGAGATGACAATTCAGGGTCATGAAGGGGCAGTGCTGCAATGCAGAGAGAGAGAGAGAGCGAGAGAGAGAGAGAGAGAGAGACAGGGAGAGAGCGGGAGAGAGAGAGAGAGAGAGAGACAGAGAGAGAGAGAGAGAGAGAGAGACACACAGAGAGAGAGAGAGAGACACAGAAAGACAGAGAGAGAGAGAGAGAAAGAGCGAGAAAGAGAGAGAGAGAGAGAGAGAGAAGGTCCTCCAGTAGAGAGGTTGGAATAAGGGTGCCCTTTTCTGTAGAGGGGCGTGGACAGGAAGGAGACAGGGAGACAGAAAGGGACAGAGACACAGAGAGAGAGAGAGAGATAGAGAGATAGAGAGATAGAGAGAGACAGAGACAGGGAGATTGGGGAGAGAGAGGCTTGGGGGGATGGGGAGGATGGGGAGCAGAGGGAGGGAGAGAGGACGACAGAACACGCGGGGGAGGAGACAAGGAAGAGAGGAAGAAGGAGAAGAGGGAGAGGACAATGTCGGCGGACTGAGCCGGAGGCTCTAAAGTAATCCACAAACTAGCATATGGTCATTCTTCGGCCATGTTCATAAAAGGGTACAAGTAGCATGGGACAGCTTTGGAAGATGAGCCGAAGAGAAGCCGCCTGCTTCTAACGGCTTAGTTCCCCGTGCCTTCGTGGAGTGGCTCAAGCACTGGAAGGGCCTCAGGTCAAGAAGCTCAGGCTCGATGAATGTCCCGTTTGCCCAGGGATCCTTATCTGCAGCTTGTATGTGACTTTTCGTGTGTTGCGCATAGTTACATTTGATCTCTTGGAACACACTTAACAAATGGTCGGTGGCTGCATAAGCCCCCATGCAGATTAAGGAAGTCCGCCAAGAGGTTCACAATTGAAGCTCACACAGTTGCAAACGAAGATTCCTTCAAACATGATGGCTTCTGCCGAGTAGCTTCACCTGAGGGCCCCCAAAAGGGCATGGGTGATGTGGCTGGCTTTCTCAGACTCTTTGTTGCTCCCATGTTTTGCCTTGTTCGGGTGGGTGGGGGGGGGTGGAAGGTCTTCAGGGTGGGGGAAGGCAGGGGGTGGCTGGCGTGGGAAGACAATCAAAAGGAGGTTTCCTCATAAACGAATTTGGTGGGTGAAGATCAAGGAAATTGAGCCTTCTGTCAAAGAAACCACCGCCTTAGGCAGCCCAAGGAGGCCAGGCGCCCCAAGGGTGGACTGAAAAAGTTCAGATGGCTTCTCTTGAAATGGAAGCCCATGGCTTCTTCTCAGCTTCGCTTTACATCTTAACAACAAGCGTAACGCAAGGGGCAAAACGCATACCACAGTGTGACATAGTGTGGCGCTCATCACTTAACTTGGACTTTAAATGCTATAAGCTACCCCGCAACCTCCGTTCTTATTAATATAGTCCCTGATACTGATTCAATCGGGTAGCATGGCCAACTATAGATACAACCAGCACATATTAGAAGATTTCAACCAGGAAGTGGGTGGGTCGCCGTTGGGGTTCTATGTGCTAAGTGATTGTTACTCACTATATGTGGGTATGACTTGTTGAAGAGAGGACCCCCCCCGGAAAATAAATAAATAAAAATATCGTGGTTGTCCTTTTGGTTTGCTTTTGAACAGCCCAAAAAAGGAACCTTCAAACAAAGACACACCCATATTGCCAACCCTAAAACACACGCCCACACGAGCAAAAACCCGCCGCTTGCCCGTGCCTCCCCGTGGCGAGCGGCGGCCCGGCTGCCTAAGCGACGTGTTCGCGATGCAAAAGTTGGAGGCCAAAAACTCTCCCCTCCCACCAACTAACATGGAAGTGCACAAGCCCCATTTCCAAGAGGAAGTCGTCTTCAACCTAAGCCTTGAGCTCAAGATAAAGGATCTAGGCGGAGGCTACGCGGACGATTGTCGACAGCTCCCTTTGCTAGTGGCTACGCGGAGGCTACGCGAGGCTACACGGTCCCAGGAGTAGGCTACGCGGCTACCATGCCAGTTCCCCTCTCCTTTTGGCTCCTGCATTTAAAAAAAAACCGCTGCTCATCTGACAGTCCCGCGTCCAACAATGCACATCATTCCACCAAATGCAATTTTGTTGCAACAGACTTCTTCTTTGCAACCTCTCTCTCTCTCTTTAACTAGGTCCTCCAGTAGAGAGCTTAGAATATGGGTACCCTTTTTTTGCTGCAGTCTAATTTAGTAGGGGAAGCCTCCCCCAAAAAAAACCGGTAAAAGGGCACTACTGGGGGCACTAGTTAAACACAAAGCGAGCTGGCAAAAGCAAACAAGCCAAGAGCAGCGAGTGCAAAGTCGAGCACCCACGCAACGGATCCCGGCCGGGCCTGGAACACGTGCCGCCCATGTCTGAGCTGGAAGCCTGGGACAATGACTCCACAGGAAACCACAGATGGGCTTCCTCCATTTGCTTCAGCGCCCCGGAAAATATACATATTTCGGATAATGATAGATTCCCTTTAAAACCAACAGGGAGAAATAAAGCATATTCTTAGCAAATGGAAGGCGTTGAAAGGTGGGAGGCGCCTTTGCCGAGGCTCGGGCGAGACGTGCGCAGGGTGCCAACCATGCGGGTTGCGCCGCGCATGGCTCCAATGCGGCGGCGCTTGTTTGCAGCTGTCAAGGTTGCATCGGTTTGCCCTGTCTTTTTCTTTCTAGACTCGTTGAAGAGGGGAGAATGGTGTGGTCTGTTGATCTTGTTCCGCACTGCAGGTTGTGAGCTTTCAGCATCTCTGTCCCAAAGCTGCGGGTGACGGCGAGACAAGCAAAGAAAAATGCCAAGAAACAAGCTGCAGCTTCTGCCTGACAGCAGCGTGCTCTCGGGCATTTTCTCGATTCGAACCACGAATTCCACCATTCTGCGCCATTCGGCGGGGAATGAAAGGGACGTCGCCCTGGAAAAGGCAAGGAAACCAACCACTCAACCGCAAGACCATGTTAAATCATCGCCTTGCTCGCATTTATGGGCGTCCCCCACGCAACTCCGAGCCCAAGCCTCGAATTCCAGAGGTGCCTCTTGCCGAATTGCTTCGGGGCTCGGTGGTTTTGAAAGCTCCAAAAGGCCGGACGTCCGGCACGTCCGGCACCGGGAGAAAAAGGGAAAGCACCGAGAAATCAAATCCAAAGGAGGGGTTCCAGAAATATGACCGGGGACGATCTCTCTCTCGCCTCTTGGCACGCGCTGCGGATTCAATGCGACGTGCCCAGGCTGCCCAGGTGTCCAAGTTTTGATTGGGGTGTCTCCAAATGCGGGAGCAAGCAAATGCCGGGCTACGCTCAGAATACAGCACCTCCATTTCTGGAACTCATCCCCACCCCAATGAATTCAAGGTCATGCTTGGAGGCTGCAAGCCCTCAATTTGGCTGCGGCTTGGTCAAGCACGGACAACTGCAACCGACAAATGTACGTGGCTGCCATGGAAAGCAAGCACCGGAAGCAGCAAGCTCTGCCCACGAACAGAAGCCATCCCTGCTATATATGGCATGCCTGCGGTATGTGCGGCTGAGGGGTTCCCACAAACGATCGCATCTGTTGTTGGGATTTGTTTGGTGGGGGCTTGCTTGCTTGACAGCTAGACCTGACAGCATGAAGCCCGGCGCCATGCCTGCATCCTGCCAGGCTGTCCAGCTGGTGCTGAAAATGAATTCCAAAAGGATGTCCTTTTCACTGTTTTTTTGGAAACATATTTGTGCTTCCCCAAAAAAAGAACGGTTCATGCCTTTGAGAAATTGAGAGATATGCCCCCCCCAAAACAAATGCAAAAGGACAACCCCGTTCCGAGGCATGCACCAGTTTCAAGGCAGCCAAAGCTTCCTGCGGGCATTGCCCCTGCCACCCTGGTACTGGTAGATTCGGCCAGCAAGACCCTGTACAGGGTGCGCACTTCTTTCTGAAAGGCGGAGTGTTGCTTGGTTAACGGAACTGACCCTTGGCTTGAAGCATAAAAACAATACCTATATATGTACATATATATATATATATATCATAGGAAACCGTCCCCTTCGGGGTCCAACATCGATATGTGCTGCCACGACCAGCCCTTGATCCCACCAAGCCCGTGCCCCGTGCCCCATGCGGCCTCACTTCTCGATGAGCCCCGGGGGAAGCGGCCAAGCAAAGGACGAGTAGCGCTGAGTTGGGCTCTCCGAGGTCTGGGATCGCTGCTGCACCATGGTGCGGGCCCGTTTCCTGGCGGGTCCCGAAGTCGCTCAATGCTTGGCAGAACCGGCTTCAATGGTCCAACCAAACCCTTGGTGCAATCAAACTCAGCTGGGGGTTGATGTTGCTCCCTGTTTTGAGCCAAGCCTTTCATGGCTTTTGGCTTTTGCCTTGGAACCTGTGCAACCCAGGAACCAGCCGCCCGCCCGCCGCCCGCCGCCCGCCTGGCTTCCGCGATGACCCCCCGGATCGCGGCCACCCGAACGCAGTAGCGGCGCACGATCTGGCCCAGCTCAGGGCAGGTGAGCCTCAGCTGGGAAAAAATGAACTTACCCTCTCCGAGAACTAAGGGGCCGCCTATCCCAACTGGAAACTCTGCTTTTTTTTTTGGGGGGGTCCGCTTCCTATTTTAAGGCACGCCCACTTGAGACAGTGGCTCGCATCCTGGAGTCAAGCTGTGTCTGTCCTTTTTGGGGTCCCCCTTTTGGATGGTTTGAAAGGGAAAGCAAAAGGAAAACCACAATTTTCGGGTTCGCGTAATTGAGACGCGCCCACTTCACCAAGGGGGCCCTTTGGCAAACAAGAGCTAGTACCCTTAAGCTTCAACACATGCGAAACAAAGGTCCTTTCAAATGGACCAGGCTGGAACACGCAAACTGCCTCGGCTTTGCCCCCCCCAACCGCGAAACATATTTGTGCTTGATTCTGGTCCATCTGCGATGAAGAATGTACCCCCCCAAAAAAAAACAAAGAAGAAGAAAAAAAAAACGCTGAATCACCACACAAAGCATGCCAGGGTGTTCCTGGGGGCCCCTTTTCCCCGATTGTTGAGTGACCCGGGTTTGCGTGGGCTTCACCCTTCGTCGGGTTCACCCTTTTCCCCAAGAAGAGCCGACGTCCGAAGTCCGGAAAATGGAAAATCCGGTCCCGGGGCTTTCGGCGCTCGATGACCCGCATGAAGGACTCCCGTGTGAGGAAGAGCACCTCGATGTAGGTCAGGGCGAAGCCTCGAGCTGGCACCAAGTCTCGGGTTTTTGCGGGTAAGTACCCTGTCCACGTTGTCATGGAACCTTACGTTTTCTCCTTTTTTACGGGTCCTGCTGGGTTCCAGGATTCCATGTGGACGGGAAGGCATACGAATTCACAAGGCAGGAGCCAGCTTCCAACTGGTGGGTGTCCTCAGCTTTCTCCCAAAGAACGCCACTAGCATGTGGAAGGTGAAAACGGACACCGACACAGCGAAGATGTCTCGGAGGATTTCCAGCCCCAAACACCAACTAAGAAAGTTGGAACAATTCCCGTTACATGCTGTGGATGGACAACATCCTGCACCAGTTGGGATGGATCACAACCTAAGCAAAGTACCGACTGGTGCAATATTTTGCCCTGGCTGGAACTAGGACCCCAAAACAACGGGGGACCTAAACAAAGCCAAAAAAAAGAAGCAGGGGAGCGAATTCTCGATGTGGCATGAGAAAAAAAAAACAGTCCGAGGTCATCTGGACGACTATGCAACTCCAACAAAAATCGGGTCGGGACTTCTTGATGCCGGCATTCAGAATCATTCAAAGCACTGTTGACTCTTTGGTTTTGCGGCCTGGCCACGGTGAAGCTTGGTTCTTTCAGTTCCCTTCAGCTTCGTAGTGTTTCCTTGTTTTCTTGGCTTCCGTTGTTTTCCCTGTGATCTGCTTGTGCGGTCCTGGGGCGAGGTTGCTGTCACCGTGTTTTCAGACCCCTTCCTTTCCTCCCAAGAGTTGCCTTGAAAGGCACCAAGTTCGCTTTTGAGTAAGGGGGGAGGGGGAAAGCAAGGATCGAACATTTTCCATACCAACAGAAGAACCTAGCCAAAATGCCCCACACAAACAAAGGAACCTACCTAAAAGGCTGCAAAGCTCGTCTGTACCCCTTGTGAGCTCAAACGGGCCGGGGATATTTTTTTCGGCCGCACCTGCAACTGGCCGAATGAGGCTGGTGTCCGACAGCACGAAGTCCTCACCCCAAACGGCGCCGTTGTGACCCACGCGGCTGTTCAAAGCCACAAGGCCCTTGGACAAAATGTACAGCACCTCGCAGGGTGATGCTTGCTGCTGGCAAGTAACCCCCCCACCCCCCCAAGTTCAGAAAAAGAAGAAAAAACACATTTTTTTGGGGGGTTAGCGGGTCCCCCCCTGCAGGGGTCTTCAAAGGGTCGACGCCCACCCAAATGTAGGATGGGTTCAAGTGCCACCCAAACCACGCATTTCGGTATACACCCCTTTTTTGGTGGCTCTGGTCCCTGCATATCCCAGCAACTCCCCGAGTAGCGGCTTGGGGGCAGCGGAAGCCATCTTAAGATCTTAGAACAAGGAAACATGTGGCCATGGGTCAGAATCCAGGTTACCCAGTGAACCTCCCAATCCCCACTAAGATAGACCACACAAAATGGGTGGTGCATTCACGTACCAACCAAAAATGGGATCCCAAAACGGTTTTGACCACCACGGCCATGTGAGTCATATGACTCTCACAGTCAGTTGGACTCAGGCTTCACGCGGTGGGCTTCCTGTGGGCTATTCAAACCCATTCCAAGGTGTGAGTGATGGTGGCCATTTGACGGGTCGCCAGAAAATCTAGATCAGATCGGCCTTTGTGTTCACGAAACTTGGGGCATATTCAATCTCATGCATGTCCTGGCCAGACCTCAGGCGCATTGCAAAAATGAAGGTTTTTTTTTCTGTTGTTTTTTCTTTTTTTTTCCTTTTTTTTTTTCGAGAAATCAAGGAGGCCAAACCAGCTATGAATTTGCCAGACGTTGATGAATTAATCCAATGTCGTTGTTCTACACTGAAATCTCTTGGCTTGTAAGCAGCCTCCAAGTTGTCATTGTTCTGAAGCGGAAGGGGGATTAACAGTTATTGTGAATTTCCCAAACCCTTGTTTAAGACCAAGACTTGGAGCCTCAAATGACAATCATGGTCGATAGTAAGGCGGACATAGCCAACCTTCAACAACCTGCAGTCCTTTCCGCAAAAAGCCGGTCAAGTCCTCACATCACCCGCAGGGCCGACACTAGCAGACATGACCCGTTTTGGATGGCTTAAGCCCAAAGGAGGCAACCCATGGGAATCCTCGATTTAGGTGTGTCTTTTTGGGGGGCCCTAGTGGATTCAAAGGGCAACCCAAAAGGAGAAACCACGATTTGGGGGGGGGTCCTCTTGAAAGGCCCCTGTCATGGCAAAGCCACTAGGAAACCAATTGGCTTGTCAGGATTCCTTCAAAAAGACCGATGGGTAGTCACCGAAATAATACACACCCTTATTTTCAGAGATACCCTGCCTGCACGTTGTCGAAGATCTCCCGTTGCGCGAATGCGCCCATTTTCAGCTCCCTTGAGATGTCGGCGATGCAGGAGCGGTACGGAGCCGTGTGCACTCCTGAAAATATGGGTGTGGGTCAAAATTAAGCCACCAGGGGACCGCAGATTTTGGCCCATGTTGCCACTTATCTGGGTTCCAGTTTGGTACGTATTTTTGACCCACAGCCATATATCACCAGCCAGCAGGGCGAGGAAAGGTTTCTATGAGGTTCTTATGAGCTACTCGCATTGTTTGCGAGTCATTGCAGAACCGGAACTAAGACACCACACCATCAAAAATTAAGGTGATGATTGAAAGCCAAAGGGGGAAATGGAATTCATTGCTTGCTTAGTGCTTTTCGATTTATTGAAAAATTGTCAGAAGGCAGGCTAAAGGGAACATAGTAAATTTTGTCTAAACGGGGGGCCGGTGCGTTGAACATATGGGTGTGGCTCAAAATTAAACAGGAGGGGTTACGCAGGTTTTGGTCCGTGTTTCCACTTACCAGGGTTCCATTTTGGTACCGGTTGGTTGAGCCACATATGCCTAATGTGAAACCCCGCCTTCGGTCTCCATGGTGTCCACCAACGCCATGAACTGCCGGAAGAAGGTGACCTTCTCCAGCCATGCCAGGTTCCTCCGCCGGCATGTGCTGTTGGTTTTTTCTGGTGTGGTGGCCGGAGTGCCGTGCAAGGGGACCACCTTCAGGGTTCCCTCTTGGTACTCCAGTAGGAAGCCCTTTCTTCTGTAGTCTATTTTAGTAGGGGAACCCTCCCCAAAAAAAGAGTTGGTAAAAGGGCACTACTGGGGGACCTAGCCCTGTCTTTCCGCCTTTTGGTTTCAAACATGGCCCGTTGCCACTGTAAAGGGAGGTTCCTTTGGGTGGGGTGAACACCCCAAGCGCTGCAAACGTGGGCATGGCTGTGGAAAACAAACCTCCGTTTGATACCAGCGCCGGCCATCCTGTCGATTGCCTTGCGGCTTGCGGGAGGTTCCCTTGGAATCACAAGAAGTAGCCCTGGAACCCCCTTGCCCACAACCACAAGCGTGGGGGGAACCATACTAAGCTCGGCAAGGGAACCCTCGAAACACCTGCCAAGCTGTCTTGGCAAGTTCCTCGGTCGGCCTCGGTCGGCTTCGTGGGCATTTACCCACCACCGGAAACCGCGGGAGTACACAGAAGGGGCCCCCGAAGGGATCTCGATTGGGACCCCTCCCTCGTCTTTCTTGTAGGATGCTTCGTACCTGTTGTTGTGGACATGTTCATGAGGACAATGTGGGGTGAAGCCCCTTCCACGTGTTTCCCCTGGCACGGATGAAGGGAAACCGAGGAAGCGCCCGGAAATGTTGAGAGATAACATTCCCTTGCCTCGGGCTCTAACCCTCTTAGCATCTCAGAGGATTTCCAGCAACTACCCAAGGGAATACGTGGAATAACCCTTTACACGCCTTTACATATTGACGAGAAAGTGGTGCAACCCTCTTTGTTCAAACATGTTTAAACAACTATAGGTTAAGAAGCCTCCTTTTTGGTATCCCCAAGAGGCCCGGGGGGTGGTTGTTCAAAGTATGTTGGACCATCAGCTCAAAATCCAAAGCATTAGAGTCATACCAAAGAACAGTAAAACATGGTAAAACCCCTGCAACATGCTACCTCTTCGTCCGGTTGCAAAACGAAGATGAAGGAACCCCCCCCAGAAAGAGAACAAGGGAACCGTTAAGGTAAGTCTGGCAATGTGTTCGGCACCCCCGTAACTCCTCGTTGCCCGCAAAACAAACAACAACAAAAAAAAAAAAAACGATGACGCCGCCGTTGGCGCGTGTAAAGCCTGCCCGGTGACTTGGGTGGTAATAGGGCAGGCTTAGATGGTAGGGCTACTCATCCCTGGCTTGGCTCCCGCAATCTCCATGGACACACCAAAACAAGGCAACACACAAACTTGTTGCTGTTGACCCCTCTGCGAAAAGCTTTACTGCTTCAACTAAAAAGTTGTTACAGCCCGAAGATCCGTTCATAAAGAAAACAAAGCTTCAAACCGAATCGGCTGCCCAGACACATGGCGGTGCAGACTTCCGCGTGCAGCTGGGGGCTCAAGTTGTCCAGTAGCTTCTGGCGGGTCAAATGCTGCGCCTGGCGCTGGAACTTATTTCTATTGTTGTGTGGGTAGTTATTGCCTCTCTTAGGGTTGTTTCCTTTGTGAGGTGTATTTACTGGTGGGTTTGCGGTCGGTAAAGAAAGGGTCCATTCGGGGTTGTCTCGAAATAGGGGACCCCCCAAAAGTGCAGGTTTCCGTGCTGGTGTCCCTTCAACGCAACCTGATCACGGTTGGGTCGACAATTGGATGCCCATGCTTGAGCAAACCGATGGGAAACAAACACCTCTTCTACCCTTGAGGTGTGGTCATTTAGAGGCTCGGAGCGACCCTTCCCTGGGTCAAATCCCGACGCAAAACAATGTTGACCCAGGATTAAAAAACCCGTCCCACTATTAGGGGGGTGTTCCCTCCAATAGTCCACTAAAAGGGGACACCCCCCTATTAATCAACCAGGGTTTTGTTAATCCGGGGTCAACATTATGTGCCACGGCTTGTCTTGCTGGTGCTCAGTAGGGAACGAGGGAATGACCCCTAGACAAAACCATCCCCTATGGTTGATTCCCAACACCCTCGATCATTCCCTACCTATCGCACCAGCAGGTTGTTGCCGACGAGGGAGCGGCTTTGGTTCCTCCCTATGCGGGAGGTAAAGGTCGTGTACTTCAAACACAGTGTGGATAGACAAAATCCATTTCGCACCACCTAGTAGACCCTGCTCGGTTTAAATTCCCTTGGGCGGCCAAGCGAATCATGGAATGTTGGTTCACATGTTGCAGTTTGCTTCAAACCCCGAGGTAAGACAAACAAGGCCTTTGTTGTTCCAGCCAGCACTAAAGGCAGATCAAGGTAAACCAGGCAACTCATAAAGTTTGAATGTTTCAACGGATGGTTCAAGACAGGTCAGTTCCCCCCTCCCCCGAAAATGGCGCTAAGAATCAGACTGAACCGGGCCATGCTTTTGAGGGCCCGTGGTACTGGCACGGTGGCCTTCGAGTTGACTAGCAAAGGCCGCGTCAGTGGCCTTTACCTTTGGCAACGTTCAGCCAGTCTAGGTTGAAGCGTCTTTATCTTATTGCTTCTTTTCCCTTATGTTGGCAAGTTCATGTAAAGATGCTGGATGTTAGCAAACAAATGCTGTTCGATGGAGGGTCAAATCAGGCAAAAACGCTGGATGTTAGCAAATGTAAGCCAGCTACTGACATGAAGAAGGCACCCTACCCACACAACAGCTCTACGTTTGCCAGCTCGGAAGGCACATCTTACATCTCCCTTGGAGGAACCAGCCACCAGATTCACTTCCAAAACCCGCCCGTGAAACTGCCCTTGAATAATGGTCGTCCCAAAAAGGCACTGTGGACGGACGGAACCCTGCACCAACTTGAAAGAATGGTTGAAACCATTGTTTGTTCACATTTGCAAGGGAATCATCATCGCAGGGTTTATCAACGGTGCGGCATTTTGTCCATCCACAGCATCGCACAGGAAACAGAGGCAAAGTGTCCCTTCTACGGGACAATGATAGATTCCCTCTAAAAACCAACAGGAGAAAATAAGAATATCCTTAAGCAAATGGATGCGACCCCCGCCATTGCTTGTGCAGGGTTTTGTGGGTGAATTGGATGTCGTAACCATCCACAGTAGGAAGCCCAGGAAGCGACCCGCTTTCATCCAGCGAGCTTCTCGGCTCAAGCTACGAGCGCCTGGTGCCGGTTCTGGAGGAAGAAGCTGCGGAGGCGACAGCACAGAGCTTGTGACAGGCCCTGGTCTTCCATAAAGGAATTCCTCACGGAGGGGAAAAAACGAGAAAAATACTAGTAAAAACAAAAAAGGCAAGTTCTCGCCCCACATTGGGAGATGGGGTGCCCAAGCAAACATGGGAAGATTACCCCAGAACAAGGGGAGACTCCCCTCCTCCCCCAACTACCCAGAACCAGGACATGGGGAGATTTGGCAGATCCGGTGGCTTTATTGTCAAATAGATTTGGTGAGCTCCCTCCTTACCAAACTGATGGACTGCAAGTAAGTTTGACCCTTGCTTGCTGTTGACCCCCTGCAAAAAGCTTAACTTTTTGGGGGTTTAGTGGAAAACCCCTTGATTTCCCAAAAAGTTAAAGTCTCTCTGAACCTTTGGACCGTTTGGTGGGGAGTAGGTGGGGTGCCCAATTTCGCCTTCAGAGGTTTCGAGCCACAGAAGGGAACTGGAACCACTGGAATACCAGAAGCCACCCTGCCCCTACTACGTTTTGAAGGTTGGTCCTTGAGCAGGCAGAAACAAGTGTTGCCACAAGTCCAGACCCCATCCCCCATGGAAGAAAACTTCTTGGGGGGGCTCCCTGGGTTCTGCAAGCCTTGAGTCCAGGTGTCATGGGAGAGGCAAAGCCATGAATCACCTGGTTTCTGCTTCGATCCAACGTAAATACAAACGTGATGGTTCCAACCCATGGCTTCTCATTTCGTGGTGCGATTTCTGGATTTCGCCACCATCCACAGGTCAAGAGCAGCTACGGCCAACGCTGTCCAAATGGTGCGGGACCTACAATCTGAGCTGTTCAAGATGGAGGGTTGGCCAATCCTCATCCATCATCCCTATAGGAAAGCCACTACAAAGGGGACCAAATCCTTGCGAAATCCAAGGTAAGGATCTTGCGGACTACCTTTGAACAGCCCAAGCAATTCCCAATCCTGAAGCAGTTCGCGAAACCGGAAAGCGGCACTTTACTTGCCCGGACCTCGACTTTTGTTCAGGTCGATCTTTTAGGGCCATGACTGCAAAGTGCACCAAAAAAGGAAACCCAGCACTGGTGTGCTGTAGAGATCCCCCAGCCAACGTCTTTGCAGATTAGACGAGTTTTATGCTGGGTATCCAAAAAGTCATAAAGTCCATTGGATCCAACTCAGTAGCAGTAGAGAACAGCTCCCTGTAGATCCGTTACCCAACGTTAGAGAAAAATTCAATAGGTCGATTCGCTTTGGACTAGTGAGGGTCACACCTCCATTGCCTTGCTTAAGCCCTCGGGAAATATATATATATATATATATATATATTTTTTAAACCAACCAAAAAAAAAAAAAAAACATGTCCAGTAGTGAAATCGATTCTCTTTAAAACCAACAAGGGAGAAAAACACATATGGGTGTGGCTCAAAATTCAACAAGAGGGGTTACGCAGGTTTTGGCCTTTGTTTCCACTTACCAGGTTTCCAGGTTGGTACCGTTTTTTTAAACCCATAGCCATATTCATTTCAGCAAATGGAAGGATTTGACTCCCCAAGCGTCAGGTGGTGCATCTTCTTCCGAAAGCGCTGGCTCTCAGCCGTCATCTCGCTGACGATGGCGCAAACCTCTCCTTGGGTTTTGGTGCTCTTGGCTATTGGCTCGCCATCCCAAGGAAGGGTACCCATCTGGGTCTGGAGGTACAGCTGCGCAAGTTTTAGTCGTTGTTTCCATTTATCAGGGTTCCATTTTGGGTACCCCTTCTTGACCCACAGCCATCTGGCTTTTTGCCAAAGGAGCCTGGACAAAAGCAAGAAATGGCCCAGCCCCTTTTGGCGCTCTTCTTGAACAATGCAGTATCAAGCCCCCAGCGTTTAGGACCATCCTGAGCGAGTTGGAGCCCTGATGATATAGGAATTCCCTTGCAAAGGAGCTGGTTGTATGATCACCCGCCTCGACAAAGCCGGATCCCACAAACTGAAGGGACCGTGGACCAAACTGAAGGGCGCAGAGTGAGAACCTGAAAAGCTTTTGCCAAAAGGTCGATTCACTTTGGCAGGTTTAAAGGTGTACTAGCTGGTTGACGAAAATTGACAAGCCAAAGTACAAGGACTCGGACTCAGAACGCAGAAGTGAAAAACCCAAAGGTCAGTTCAAGTCGAATCGTTTGCAACCAAGGGCGGCCAAGAGTGGACCGAATCGGAAAATCAGTTATCAAAATCCGGTGTAATGGGGTTGCGCCCCTCCAGTGGAGGTCTGGGTGTGCGTCAATATAGCGGTTTCTGACCGCGTAAATGCTGGGCCTTCGCTTCTTCATTTCCCTTTCAGCCAACCTGAAAACAAAGCGAAACCATGGTTTGTTGGTATTTATGTTGGGAAATCTCATTTTTGGGGTTCTTTAGGTGGTGCGGTTTGTGGATTTTGGCCATGTACGGGTAGCCTCCAAGCGAGGAGACCCAAGTCATTCCTTAGGATCAGTGAGACTATTGGGACCAGCAAAAACAAGAACAAAGGTTTAAGACGGCAAGTTGGGAAAACACTCCAGGCTGGACCAGTTGACACCATTCAAAGGTCCGCTGATGCATGCCGTGGATGGTTTCCAAATTAATTTTGCGCCACTTTGAAACCTTACCGACGCCTTCTTGCGGAGGGGGGGGGGACCACTACTGAGTGCCAAACGGGCCTACTCAAAACCACATGAAAGAATCAACCGGGGGTCACCCGAATTTCCCCCTCGAAGGTTGAATCCTACTGGTGGTGTCCATTAAAGCCATCGCCACTTTTGGAGGTAACCCTGTAAAAAGGCCGGAAGGCTCAGCGCCTTTTTCTTCTTCGTGAGACTATCCCACGTCCCTATGCTAGCTCTCGACTTCCGGCGGCGACTATCCCACGGGCTTAGGTCCGGGCCAACTCGATTTCGTCGCAAGCCGGGTCAAATCCTGCACCACCTATAAGAGACCCTGGTTTCTGATGATTCTCCTGCCAATACCAGCAAATCATGGTTTCAACCATGGCTTCCGAGTGGTGCGGTTTATGGATTTTGCCCATCCACGGTTGGGCTCGCAGCAAAAAGCAACCATGGTGACTCTGGTCCAGCAAGGGATGTGTCGAAACCGGGGGGGGGGGGCTAAACATTGTTGTCTGGTGTTTGGTTTATGGTGACTCTCCCACGTCCCTTCCACCCGGGCTTGGGTCCGGGTCCCGGTCAACTCGATTGCGTTGCAAGCATCCCAGGATGTAGGCCCAGGAGAGGCCCGAGACCAAGACAATCCAGGTGCAAACCATCCGCTCCAGCACGTTCCGGGGCCCAAAGTCCCCATAGCCCACAGAGGTCATGGTGTAGCAGCAGAAGTAGTAGGAGGCAATATACACCTCGCATAAGAGACAGAAGAGCTGTCTCGAATTTTGGCTTGGTACAAAAATCGGACACGCTCTTGTTTTTGCTTCTTCCTTTTTTGTTGTGTGTGTGTGTGTTGAGGGGTACCCTTTTCAGGCTGGCAAGGCACCAAACTTCAGTTTAGCGCTGGACCATTCAACATCGGCAGGTTGCTGTTTGTCGCGAGCGCTACTGTGGATGGATAAAATCCATTCGCACCACCTAATGGGAAACCATTCTCTCTGTCTCTCTCTCTCTTTCTCTCTCTGCCGCACCATCGGTAAGCCGTCCACAAGAGGTGGGGTGCCAAGAGCCCATTTCAGGCCGTCGGAGGTGGTGCGCATCAAAGGGCGCGCTGGCAGACTCTGGCAACAAGCTAGACCAAATAAGATTGTAGAAACTGGAGCAGGTTTTTCATTGTTCGTTGGTATTTACAGGGGGGCCATCATTCCAGGGTTGCTTAGGTGGTGCAGGATTGCGTCCATCATCGTCCATCTACAGTGGAAGCTGAGCTGTGCAGGATCTGTTGTTATGAAAGATCTGGGGACGACCAGAAAACTTTGCAAGTCTTTGGCTTCCGCTTTTCCGAGGATCCTTTCCAGAAAACAAGAAGCACAAGGAAAACATCTGGGACTTGAGAAGAACAACGGTTGACATGGGGGATACCCCGAAAACATGGACCGACACGGGAATACCAGCACGTTGAGGTTGGCTTCCCAAACGGCATATGTATGTATGTATGTATGTATGTATGTATGTATGTATGTATGTATGTATGTATGTATGTATGTATGTAGGTAGGTATGTATGTATGTATGTATGTATGTATGTATGTATGTAGTGTACGTATGTAGTGTATGTATGTAGTGTATGTATGTACGCATAACCAAACTGGAAAGCCAACAATCACACCCAAAACGGGAAACAAGCAGCAATACATGCCCAGGCATAACTCAAAATGCTACCCACTTGGCACCCCAGCACGGCATGGTAGAGCCGACCAAGAATGCAAGCGAGAAAGGAGAACCAGGGCACCCACCATGGCCGCATTCAACATCACTCCGCCAAGGGGAAGCTCACTTAACGTGTTCGCTGAGGTGGCCAACTGTCAGTTGGAAAATCATGCGGATGGACAAAATCCACTGAGCACCAGTCGGAAAGTGTTTTTTCCCGTTTGTAGGAATTCATCCACTCCAACTGGGGAAGTTGGTTGTGTCCATTCCACAGCATGCCCAGACCTACTGTAGCCATGGGAAAAACCGAAAAAAAGAAGAAAAAAAAGGGAACACATGTCACCCCCCCCCCCCCCTCCCCCTCCCGCCCCCCCAAACTAAAAAAAGAACCAGAAAAAGGGTGACCGACACAACCGGAGGTCTGGAGAAGGATGCTTGAGGCTTCACCCCGGCCCCAAGCAACCTGCGGACAAGAGGCCCGCCAGGGCACATCCCGGGTGCGGATGCCAAAGGGCAGATCCGCCACCTCGATCTCGCTGATCCACTGGGGGTACTGCTCATCCACCAGCTTCAAGGTCCTGTTTCCACTCAATGATTAAAATAATTGCACTAATTGCAAAATCCGGGACCACAGTGTATTGCAACTATTGCAATTGTTGAAATTGAATTCCAATAATTGCAATAATTGGGCGAACTCTTTCAGGTAAATAGCTGGTCAACAACAACAAAAAAGAAGTCCAGCACCCCATGCTTTCGGTCAAACTCCCCAAAATTCGGCCATGTTTGCCCGGATGATCATTTCCATGTTGAACACAAAACAGTTAAACATGTGTTTGATAATATTTGTTTAAACGCATCAGATCACAATTGGGATCCCCTTAAAACAACCCCAAAAAAAGTGGTACCCTCAAAATACAGATACGCCCCGCCCATATACGTCGAGGCAAAAAAGTATGTGAAAACACCTTACCTACCATAGTACGTAACGGAACCGGGCTTCCAACTAAACCCTCGGCAAACAGTCGAGACTTTGGAAGTCGTGAGGAAATTCTCATGTTACAACAGGAGAAATGGTGGTCTTAAGACTCCTTCCATATTCTGCTGACTAGTGAGGACAGTGTCCTAGTCCACAAGGTTGAAAAAGGCGAAAGGGCCCTGCAAACAGTGGTCGTTTTCAGCCCAGCCAAAACTTCACAACCCTTGGTATGTAGCAAAAACAGTTGTTTCTTGAAGCCCCCTCCGAACAATGAACAGCACCAAAAAAAACAAACAACGAAAACAACTTGCCAAGAACAGTGAAGGAATGGTAACAAACTTGTTTTTTTTGTTTTTTAAATCTTGTCCCCTGTGCGACCAAGGGTCATGGCCCAGACGCATGCCAGCCAGTGGCACGCCAGGATCAGCACCAAAAGGAAGCGGAAAAGAGCCACGTGCTGGTAGGGGATGGAATTCGGGATCTCAACTCCTTGTGCGGGGAATGGGGGGGAGATCGAATGATTCTGATTCATAATTGATTCATTGATTCCTTGAGTCGTTGGAGCACTGAGTGATACACTCTATGGTTGATTGATCTGATGATCGAATGATTGACTGACTGATTCGATGATCGAATCAATTGATGAATGAAACCCCAGTCCACCCCTCAATATTCCAATCCCAAGTTTGAATCTCCTTCAGCCGGCAACAGCCGAAACCAAGGCTATACATCAAATGTGTAGGGCTGATCCCCCTTCCCAGGCAATAGCCAAGCCCCCAGAGTTGGCCCCGATGGATTTCATTGGGCCTTCAGTAGCAGGCTGGGGTGGGGGGGGCGAGGGATGGTCCCCTCTGCACGTCATATGCCAAAGGCTCGTGTTGTGGTAACGGCGGCTCTCCGGGTGACAGGATTCGACAGGATTACTCTCAAATTGCGCCGTTAGAGTCTGGTTTATTTGATGAACACGGAGAGTCCAGCTACTCAGCATGATGACTTCCGGGTCCAGCGAAACAAGGCTGATGAGGGCCGTTTTGAGACAGATGTAGGTCCCCCCTGTTTCTCTTTTGATATCACCCCCACCCGAGGAAACCTCGAAAAGCAGCAACAAAACGGGAAACCACCCTCCGCATCGGGCAGTAAACTTCGGAAAGCGGAGACCCCGCCAAAAAGTTTGCCAATGTTTACCACCGTTTACCACCAACATTGTCTTCCCAAAATGGATTTCAGGAAGCCAGGGAGTGAATCCGAAATGGGCGCGGGCGCGTGGCTCAAACCGGTTCAAAGTGAATCCGAAAGGAACGCCGCCATTTTGCGGGTCCCTCCCAGTTGCCACACACCCAATAGAGATCCCAATTTGTGCCAAGTCTCGGTGGGTGAGCTTCGAGGTTTTCAGGAGCCGCATCAGCTTCAGCAGCCGAAGCACACGGATCACCTGGAGAAGGGGTTAGGGTTTAGGGTTTAGTTGGGCTGATGGTTTTGTGTGGGCTGATGGCGTTGGGTTGGGCTGGGCTGTTGCTGTTGGGCTGTTGTGTTGTTGCTGTTGTGTTGTGGATTGGTCCGTTGCCAGTTGACGTCCCCCGATGGCTCCCAGCCAAGGATTGTCGGACCTGGTGGCGGCTCTGAGTGTTGGCTGACTTCTCGATTCTCCAATATTATCCATACACCAGGAAGCATGGGATTTTGGTGTGTCTGTTTTTAGATCCCCCCAACAAAAATGAGTGGTGTCCTTTCCCTGCAAAACCATCCCAGAACATGTACTTTCAAAGGTAGAAACCCAAGTGGAATGATCGGAAGTTCTGTTGGCCACCCGCCTCCCCCAACTCCTTCAAGGTCGGGATCTGACCGTGGTGGTTGGACACTTGGGTGCTTGGAGGTTTGGGTTTGAGGACGTGGGGGTTAAAGACTTCCCCGTCACCCGAAAGGCCCGAAAGGACCAAACAAGACCAAATACCACACTTGACCCATGCAAGGCGTAATGCGCCTCGCACTTTGCTCCTGGTTCAAGAGAGGTATGGTCCCGGGGTTTGGTGAATCTGTGAGTTGACAGCTATGGGGGGGGTTGGGTGGACACGCACCCAGGTGACTTGACGAGCTGAATCTTCATTGCAAGTCATCAGCGAGATGTCAGCGAGATGCCAGGCGAGGATTTGGACATTTAAAGCTGGCAGTTGAGCAGTTGTAACCCAACTAATCAATCACTGGGCATTGTCGCTCAGCCTAGGGGATCGTCAGGCACCAATTTGAGAAAATCAAGCGACCCAAAACCTGAGCTGACGGGTTGTATCAGGATGATTATCTGGGCAAATGAGCATAGCGTGAACCAAGCGCAAAAGAAAAAAACAAAGAAACTATGAAAGAAACTCCTTCAGTAAAGGTATATATATATATGTATGTAGGGCTGAGACCGTTATAATACCAGAACCACCAGCTATGGCCAGTGAGGATTTTGATGTCTGCCCAGTTGCAACCAGCCCAAAAGGCAGAAGATTGGAGTGGCAAGATGATGTAGCGCCAAACCAGGGGGTTGATTTTGGGCAAACCCAACCGGTGCTCCCGGTTGCAAATATCCTGACTGGTTCTCCCGGGCTGAGGCAACTAGTCCCACTCGGGATCATGCTGGCCAATAAATGTGACCTGCGCTCATGGGAGGGTTCTCAAAATCTAAAGCTTTGACTCCAAACAACGAACGCGGCCCAATAGAAACCGGCTTCATTCATGTTGACCCTTTGCTCTAAATTTAGCCTAACACCAGAGGACCTTACCCTGCTGGGTAATTTTGGAGGAGACTCCCCGAATCCCGCCCCCGGCCCGAAGACGATGGATGCAAACCCCGGCCTTGATGCTGCGCAAGTCCTTGAGGCGATCGGCGTCGGACAAGAGCCCGATCGTGTCGAGCGGGATGAGGGTCAAAAAGTCCTGGGCGTTGGGTCGTGAATCGGACCAAAGGACATACTGTGGATGGACAAAATCCTGCACCACTTGGAAACCATGGGAAACCATTCTTCCTTGGAATCATCCTTCCAGGGTCTCACGGTGCGAAATGGATTTCGTCCATTCACAGGGGGGACATTCTCTCCAATCACCTCACAAAGGCGCCTACTTCAATTCAACAAAAGTCACATGTTGGTTGGGGCCTTGGGCTTTAGATGTTAGCCAAATCGAGGTCCACATGAAGCGATCCATCCATCCCCCTTTGACAGTCAGTGAAGCGTCATTGCAAAAGGAAAAATCCGTCGTGCAACCCTGCGATTCTTTGCCAGGAACCTATGCCAAGACCCCATGCGTCAGAACTCCCACCCTCCGAGAACCTATGGCGGAAGGCTGTCGTTCCTTTTCTGCATGCCTGTCTTCGTGTTTTCTTTCTTTTTGCATGCCTGTCTTCAAAAAGACCTTCGGCCCCGGCAAGGCTCTCAGAACCCTTCCCGCGAGTTGCAGAACCAGGCATTGCCAAGGCCCTACCAACTTGGTTCCCAGCAAAGAATCAGGGAATGACCCCACCATGGATCATCTCTTGTGGTTTTGAAGGGGGTGAAAACCCCTAATTCCCTACTGAGAACCAGTCAGCTAAGAAGGACGAGCGACAGGAGTGGCAAGTGCACCCTTTTCCGTGGCCAAGGCTCAAGACAGAACCACGTCTTGACATAATGCATCGCAATCTTGCCTCCCGACTCAGACCCATGCAGAAAGTTACTTGTGTTGTTTGCTATCAGTTGCTGGTTGAAAGGGAAACAAAAGAAACAAACGGAAACAGGCTAAAAAGGTACACCACGGTGAAAGTAGATGGCACGTGTTCCGTTCTTTCGGCAAGTAAGTGGGATAAGAAAAACAAAATGGGGCAATTGTGCCATCAACGTTCACGCTGGATAGAAAAAAAAGGTAAGCACCATTTGGACCTGTTGCGTGGTCGGAACTCCCACTCGAGACCCCTTGCAGTGGTCTTCGGATACATTGTAATGAACTGGAGGACCATGTCAATGATGAAGACGAGGTCAACACACCAAGTAATCACGAAGAGCATGTCCCACCTCAGTCCAACCCGGGAGTTTGACAAATGAGCCAAGCCAGAAAGGGTTCAAGCACTGCCATGGAGGGACGAATCCTGCACCACCTATAAGAACTCCCGGTTTCTGACGATTCCCCTGTAATTGTCAACAAACGTTGTGGTTTCAACCACGACTTCAGTTCGTGGCGCGATTTCTGGATTTCGCAACCATCAATATTTCTGAGCCACTGGATCTCCAACATGCCAACCTGAAGCGGCGTCACCAAGGCAACGTAGCCCAGCGCGAAGTTCACGATCACTTGCCAAATCTGCCTGTGTTGGGGGCTGGGGGTTGGGGGGTTGGGGGTGGGGGGGGGGGGTGGATGCGGACATCTCGCAGTCTCTACTGGCCTGTACATTAAAACCAGCAACAACACGGTGGTTCCTCTTGGAAGTGGATGAGCGTTTGGTTGTTTGAGCAAGTTTTGACCCCTGGTCTGCAACGTGTTGGATGATTGGTTTACGAGGGGTTCCCATGTACTCCGTTAAAGGCAATGACCCGTTCAAATCCCAAACCACCAATCCAAACCACCAACCAGGGGATAGATGATGTAAATAGGTAACTCAAAACAAAGCCATTGAGGTGTCTTCGACCTCCCAGCAGGCAAGCGTTTATGCTTGGGATTTGTTTGCGGCCGATAACCAAAGCCAAGCTGCGAGAATCGGTTGCTGTCCGGGTTGATGACGAACCAATGCTTGCTCACCTCGGGCATAATGCGACCAATGCGCCACATATTTCATTTCCGTCTCACCCATTGTTTTTTCTTTTTTGTTTAAACTCCAAATGGAAAATATGTCTGAACCCCGACCGCATCGATTAGGACCCCCCTCCTTTCCCCCCCAAAAAAACAAAGGAACGAAGAAGAACGAGGTGTCATGTTTTAGGGCGCCCGTTTTGCCACGGTTTTGGGGCCTGAAGAAGGGAGCCCGAACTTGCCGCCAAGGGTGCTGCGAACTCCTTGGTCCTGGCTCTCACGACCTGGCAAGCGATGGGCAGATTCTGTGCTCTCCTTTCCTCCCCGCTTTGAGGATCCTTTTTGGCTGGCGCTTGAAGCCAACAAAATTACTTGTAGGGGACCTCCCACACCAAGCCTAAGCTTAATCACATGCTTTGCTCTGATCTAAGCCACCCTAAAACAGGAATGTCAAAAAGGTAGCAACTCCAGAACAAACACAAAGGAGCACACACTGAATTTATACCTCTGTGGTTTGGTCATTTTTGTTTTGATGTTCGGAATGACCCCGAGATGCGAGAGCTAGCTATCAATGTCACACTCTAACCATTTCGCTGACTCGACCATCGACCGTCGTGTCCGAAAACAACGGAAGGAAGTGCTCAGGCAAGGTGCCGAAACCTGCATCTTCTCCTCGCGGGCAAAGCTCTTTTGGCTCTTTCTCCAAAGCTGACTGGATTCGGTCCATGTGAAGCCATGGAAACCCATGTTGGAGCCTTTAAAAGCTGAGTTCCCTAACGGTCTAAGCTTCTTTTTGTTTCTTGCTATTTCGCCCTGGGAATACACCCATATGTCCGGAAAAACCCGTGGGACCATCCTGGGTCATTTTTTAAGGGTGTAATCCCAGGGTGCAAGGCGAACACCCTCCGAAACGGTCAATTCACCAACAAGCGCTTCGGGTCCATACCAGGGGTTCATACGGCATAGGCATCCAGCCTTTGATTCTCCAACTTGCGTGAAGCAACCGATCTGTGGAATGTGCTGGCTGCTCACTGGTCTTAAGAGGTGCCAAACCTGGCCGCGAACTCAGCAATCAAGCTCCGAATGCCGGAAGAATACAAAATCAGCAAGCAGAAAGGGCGCACCCCTGCGTGCAGTGGGAACATGGACGCAAGTAATACTAGTGGAGTCCATCTTATCTTCAACCCAACTGAACAAAGAAAGCACTCGTATGGCATATGGTGTCACCTGTCGAGGATCTTGCGCCATTTGGGCTTCGCGATGCTTCCCATCTCTCCGTCTACAGTCTGGAGTTGGAGAGGGTCAAATTGCTACTCCCAAGCAGGGGAAAAAGGGAACCTCCAGCGTGGATTCGATTTTGTTACCCCGAACGCATCAAGGTCGCAAGGGGTAAAAACCAAACAAACTGATTTGTGGTCCCTCTTGGGAATCTACATCCCCTTTGGACAGTGGGTGGCTTCTGAAGCGAACGATGGGAAAAGGGAGTGGGGAACCAAACCAAATATACTGTGGATGCACGCAATCCCTTTCGCACCACCTAAGAAACCATGGAATGATGATTCCCCTGTAAATACCAACCAAGAATGGTTTCCCATGGGTTCAAAGTGGTGTGAACGGGGTTTCGTCCATCCACACTATTCAGACAGATTGGTCCAAGCCTATGATCAATAGCCCGTAGTGGGCACCCACGGATTGATGCTGAACTAGGCGGCAAGGGGAAACGGCGGGATAAGAATTGCATTTGTTTTCGTCCGGCTTCATGGGTGAAGCGGGTATTTGGGTTTGTCTCAGAGAGGGGAACCCCAAATCTAGATCCCCCAAAAAACACCAACCCCCGCGGGAAGGGGAAACGGCGGGATAAAAATTGCATTTGTGTTCGTCCGGGTTCATGGGTGAAGCGGGTATTTGGGTTTGTCTCAAGAGAGGGGAACCCCAAAATGGTGGGGTCCTGTAATATCTCCCTTTAAACCAACCCCAAAAAGGGTGAAGCTCGCAACAAATTGCAGGACGTGGCTAGGTCCTCCAGGAGAGAGGTTAGAATAAAGGTACTTTTTTTTTCTGCCGGGAACCCTCCCAACCAAAAAAGGGGTGAGAAAGGGCACCTAGCTGGGGGATCTAGGTGGAGCACGGGGAACGCCTGCCCACGAGTCCTTCATCAGCTTGGACACCCGCGCGTCCGCCACCGCGGCAGATGTCACTTGGCTGGGCCGCGTCGGACGCAGCAGTGAGGGACGCTGGCTGGGGAGCACCGGGTGAAGCACTGGATCCTGAACGCCCCATGATCCCCCGCTCCCAAAACAAAAGTGAAAAGAAAAAGGGTGCCAATGAGCAACGAGGTGTTGGCTCGAGCAACAAGTTTTTGGCTCCCTTTCAAATGCATTCTAGCTCTGAATAGCCCCCCGTTGACTGTTGCTTGTTGCAAACAGGGCGGCGGGCCAATGGAAACTCGGCTTGCGGCTTGCGGGCAAGAATGGTTCCCGGCCACAGGGAAGCCTCAACAGTCTTCTTCAATCCCTGCAAAAGATTTTTCAGCCAAGGGGCCAAACCCTTTTAGGACGGTTTTGCCCCAAAGCGTTGTGACAAACCGGCACTTGATTGAACTGCGCTCTCTAGATGTACTTGAGAGACCGAGGAGATCAGGGAGCGCTGAGGCCAACATCAAGTGATCGGTTGCCAGGAAATCTAAGATCAGGCTTTTCAAGGAGGGCGGCGTCTCTAAGTTGCTGTGCCCTTTTTCTGTGCCACGGTCAACAAACCTTGACCTGGGCCATGGTGAGGGCCATCTAGATAGAGCACCCCACCCCCCCCCCAAAAAAAAAAAAAAAACTAGAGGACGACTGGCCCGAAAGCATTTTTCCCCAGGTGCTCATCCAGCCGCGGAGACACCTTTTTACATCGCTGCGGCGAGCGTGTCTGCACGCGGCGATGCTCAATGTGTATGGTCACATGAGAGCTCCATCTCATCGCCCTACAAGAGGAAACATGGCAGTGCTCGATCCCACATCCGTTAAAACAAGAAGAGTAAAGCTCGTAAAGCTCGAAACGAATTACAAGCAAAAGGAAAAGCAATCAATAGAAAAGCTTACACGACGGCCACAGTTTCTGCAAAGCACGCTCGCGCAACTTGGCTCTGTGCAAGATGGCTCTGCGCAGCTTGGCTCTGTGAAAGTTGGCTCTACGCAAGCTACTTTTCGCAAGTGGCCCTGCGCAACTGGCTCTGTGCAGCCTGGCTCTGCACGAGTATGCTCGGCGCAATGTGCTTTGCACGAACTGCGCCGCGCGATTTTTCACGAAAGTGGTCTGCGCAAGCTGCATTGTTCCAGGCTGCTGCGCGCAAGTTGCTCTCTGCAAGCTGCTGCACGCAAGTGCTCTGTGCAAGTTGCTCTGCGCAAGTGCTCTGAGCAAGTTGCTCTGCGCAAGTGCTCTGCGCCGGTTAGTCCGCGCAAGCGCTTTGCGCATGTGCTCTGTGCAAGTTGGTCTGTGCAAGGCTTTGTGCAAGTGCTCTGTGCAAGTTGCTCTGCGCAAGTTGCTCTGCGCAAGTGACTCTGCGCAAGTTGCTCTGCGCAAGTGCTGCCGGAGCTGTGGGAATGTACTTCGCGTACTATTTTTGTACTTAAAAGTTGCGATTTTCCAGCCGGAGCTGCGGGAGTGTGCTCCGCGTACTACGTTTGTACTTAAAAGTTGCGATTTTCCAGCCGGAGCTGCGGGAGCACGCTGCATACTACGTCTGTACTTAAAAGTTGCGATTTTCCAGCCGGAGCTGCAGGAGCACGCTCCTTACTACGTTTGTATTTAAAAGCTGCGATTTTCAAGCCGGAGCTGCCGCGGACCGGTCGCGCGGGCATATCAAAAAACGCAAAAAACCTCGAGTTTTTGCACCTCGACCACGCCAATCTCCGCAGAGGGTCGCGCGGGAATATCAGAAAACGCAAAAAAACCTTGAGTTTTTGCACCTCGACCACGCCGATCCCCGCAGAGGGTCGCGCGGGCGTATCAAAAACGCAAAAAAAAACCTCGAGTTTTTTGCACCTCGACCACGCCGATCTCCGCAGAGGGTCGCGCGGGAATATCAAAAAACGCAAAAAAAGCTTGAGTCTTTGCACCTCGACCACGCCGATCCCCGCAGACGGTCGCATTCCCGATCTTCGGCAACATCCCCACCCCCCGCCTTAAAAGAGATTCTTAATACCGAGTTCTTTCTCTTTCTTTCCCGCGCGTTAAGCACTTAACCTAACTCACTTAACCTAGCTTACACAGCTGCTACCGCCGAGCCTCTACACCTAGCTTAGCTTAGCTCTATGCACCTAGCTCTATGCACTTGGCTCTATGCACCTGGCTCGATGCACTTCGCTCTTTGCACTTGGCTCTGTGCACTTAGCTCTGGGCACTTGGCTCCTTGCACCTCGCCCTTTGCACTTCGAGCCTGAGCACTTGGCTCTATGCGCTTGGCTCTTTGCACTTGGCTCTGCGCAAGTAACTCTATGCTGGTGACTCCATGCTGGTGACTCTGTGCAAGTATCTCCATGCTTGTATTTCCATGCTGGTGACTCTGTGCAAGTATCTCAATGCTGCGCAAGCTACTCTGTGCTAGTACCTCTGCGCGAGTATCTCCATGCTGGTATCTCCATGCTGGTGACTCTGTGCAAGCTACTCTGCACAAGTTGACCAAGAGCTCCTGATATCTCCATGCTGGTGACTCTGTGCCAGCTACTCTGCGCAAGTTGACCAAGAGCTCCGCACAGAAGAACCCTTTCGCAATGCTTTCGGGAAAAAGAGGATGTTCAAATCCCTGAAGTCTTCAAGGCGATCTTTAATTTGCATGTTTTGCAATACTTCAAACTCAAAAAACAAGTGAACCCCTGGTAAAGCACCTTCATTGTGAGCTTGTTTTAAGACACACCCAGATTGAAAAAACACTTTGCAGGTGAGCGGCCGCATCGAAGGAGCAACGTTCGCCTCGACCCCGACAATTTGGAAGAGCGACATCTTCCACCGCACTCTCGACTACATCCTGGGCCAAACACATCCGACCTGCGACAAGTGTTGACAAATTCGCAGGTTGACTTGGTCAACAACAATAAACTTTGGATTCACATTCTTGTGTGTTTCGTCATTTTGGTCTAGTGGGGAAATGTCATATGTTACCAAATGATGACTCAGTTGACAAAACAAAACAATCCAAAGTTGGCAAACCTGTTGGGTTTGTCGGGGCTGCTCAAAAAGCAGGGCTGGCCCGCAACCCCTACAAACACGCTACTAATAAGGGGACCGCTTACACAAACAAGGTAAGGATCTTGCGGATTGCCTTTGAACAGCCTAGTTTGTTCAGTTCCCCCCCCAAATGTCCCATTAAAATACCACCCCTACTAAGTGAAACTCATCTCGAATAGCCAAAAAGGTCATGCTGAAAACACCCAAAGCGAGAAATATAAGGGCCCTTGACCAAACTCAGTAAAATCAGTTTAATTACCCAACTAACATGTCACCTGACCACGGGGCGGGGGGGGGGGGGTCCTGAAAGACCATGTTACTTTTAAGGTCCCTGTCAGGTTCTATGTTAATTGGTGGGAGGGTAATTCATTCCAACAGATGCAAAAGAAGGAAAACAAAAAAAGGTTTACTGAACCTCCGGCGATGCATCCACTTCCAAGGAGGCCTCGCTGGTGCGAACGCGCGCCTGGATTACCTGTAAGTCAGGTGTCTCCTTGGTGTGCCAAGTGCGGCCGGGGTGGTCCCAGCGGAGTGGACTTCCATGGGAAAAAGGGCACTGGGAGTTGGGAACAAGGAAATCCCCCTCCAAAGCAAGGAAACAAGGGCACTCTGGGTAGTTGACGGGAAACATGTGTGTGTGTGTGCGCGTTTTTCGAGGGTACCTACTTGGGGAGGGGGTGGTTGAATTGGGGAGAACCATCCATGGGTCGCCATATTTTGGCATGTTACTGCTTGCTAATTGTAATGCAGCACCTAGAAACAACCAAAAAGCAAAAGGCAAGATCAGACTGGCCATCCGTCGCACCCTGACCTCTGCGGTTGGCGCAAGTTCTGAAGTCAAATACCGCGGGCAATACGCCCCCTGTTTGCGCCTGGATCCTATCAACCCCCTGCCGCACCGCGACAATCCTCAAGCAGGGCCTACTCGTGGCCGGCTTTCAGGAGAAACATGCACAAACACATCAAACAACGTGCGAAGACCTTCCGTATCCTAGATGGACAGTAAATACAGATACCTTCCCGAAAACGTACTTGACGCAGCAAGCATGACCAATAACTCTACCCTCTGCTCCTCATGAACCAGGTCATCATTGCTATGCCGGTGTGCAGCTTGCAATCATAGTGGCACGCAATGGCAAACACTGGCACGGGCACATTTTGCGCACTCACGCACACACACACACATACACATGCAAACACGTACAAAACAAAGAACAAGCAAACACAAAATAGTCAGGCACACAGGCCGACAGGCAGGAAGACAGGCCTGCAAGAAACAACAAACAACAACACGAAACAAATTAACACAACGCATAGCCAAATCAACAAACAAACAAACAAACAAACAAACAAACAAACGACCAATTCAACAAACAAAGAACCAAACAAGCAGGCAAGCAAACAACAAAGCACGCACGCAAGCACTCTAACAAACAGGCAAGTAAGCAAGCAAGCCCGCAAACAAACATAAATGCGCACACACACAAGTTTAACAAAGGAAACGCATACAAACAATCAAGCACGCAAAACGAAAAAAAACACGCAATAAAGCAAGCACGCAATAACTCAACCAGGCAAGAAAGCAAGCAGACAAAAAACAAACACGCAAGCAAGCAACAGAGCAAACAAGCGAACGAGCAAGCGAGCAAGCAAGCAAGCAAGCAAGCACACAAACAGGCAGGCAGGCAGGCAGGCAGGCAGGCAGGCAGGCAGGCAGGCAGGCAGGCAGGCAAGCAAGCAAGCAAAAACACAACGAAACAAAGAAAAACAAAACACAACACAACACAACACACAAACACACAAACACACGGGCAATCAAACAAGCAAGGAACCAAGCACCCAAACAAGCAAGCAAACAAACAAACAAACAAGTCAAACAAACAAACAAACAAACAAACAAACAAACAAACAAACAAACAAACAAACGAAGAAGTCAAACAAACAAACAAACAGACAAGCAAACAAACAAACAAACAAACAAACAAACAAGCAAACAAACAAACAAACAAGCAAACAAGCAAACACACAAGCAGATAAACAGACAACAAACAAGAAGAAATCAACCAACCAACCAACCAACAAAAAACCAACAAACAAGGAAGCAAGCAAACAGACAGATGAAGAGAGGCAAACAGACATACAAACAGACAGACAGCCAGCCACGCAGACAAAGACAAGCCAGTCAGCCAGTAGGCGAGCAAGCAAACAGCCACAGAAACGCACAGACTTGGAATGACTTGAATTGTGCAAACCTCCGTAGTCCGGCAACTGCTTCTCCTTTTTGGGCCGGGGCTCTGCAAGCTTTTGGTTCCGTTCGAGCTCCTGGACAGGGTTAGGCAAACATCTTCAAACACCTACGGTGGCTGGTTGCGAATCCACAAACGACACCACATAAGAAACCATGGTTGAAACCATAACGTTTGTTGGCATTTGCGTTGCGAATCGCATCAATCCATTGGGTGTCTGAACGGTGGTGTGAAATGGATTTTGTCCACCCACAGTATTGTTGAAACATCTTGTAAAATTGTCTCTGGCCAAAAAAATGCAAATTTGTTGACAAAACAAAAAAAACACGGGGCTGACTTTGGAAAACGGCCAACACACATGGGCAAACCGGTGGCTTTTCTTTCCAAACAAGCTCACCGACGCGGGGGCTGCAGATTTTCTTTGGAACATCCCCTCCTGGAGCCTGGCCGACTGTTTCTCCAGCTCCTCGGCGAGTTGCTTCAGGAGGCTCCGCCAAGGCTCCATTGCTGGGAGCTTTGCCCCCGACTCGGCTCGGCAAATGCCTGCGGAGCCTTCGGATTTCGCAAGGACCCGACTGTGGTTGCGAAATCCATCAACCAACCGCACCACCTAAGACACACTGGAATGAAATACGATTCCCTTGCAAATACCAACAAACAGTTTCAAAGTGGTGCAGGATTTCGTGCCCTGGGATTACACCCCAGGGAAGTCACCCCAAGCAGAACCAAACAAGCCAAAACAACCAGGTTTTATCTAGACATAGAAACTCCCTGGAGGATGTCGCAAGGTGTGGAGCCTACGGTGGATGGGTACGAGTCGTCCATTTCGCTTCTCGCACCTCCAGTATGGACCCTTCTGTTCAAGCCGCTTGGTACGCTTATACAGTGGTGATATCTGCAAGCGACGGGTGTCACAACCTCTAAGATCCGACACGGCCGACTCCGCCCGCCTCAGGCGCAGGAGTTGGGCCTCGCTGGGGAGGAGGTCAGAAATGGCACCACCAAGGGAGGAGGCCGCCTCAGCGCGGATCAAATCGAAGAGGCTTCCAGAGGCTCCAGGAAGCCTGGCGATCTGTGAGGTTTTTTCCTAGGTCCTCCAGTGGAGAGGTTAGAATAAGGGTACCCTTTTTGCTGTAGTCTATGTTAGTAGGGGAACCCTCCCAACCAAAAACGGGGTAGAGAAGGGCACTACTGGGGGACCTAGTTTCCATCCAACCCTCCAAGTAGCTCCAAGTTTGTTGACTGGCGACAAGTAGAAGCCATAGAATCTACTTCTTGTTCTTCATTGTTTGTTTGGGGGAGGAGGTGTGGCTTCTAGTATGGCTCTCACCAGGCCAAAGGGACTGGGGAAAGCCAATCGACTGTGGAGTCCCCATGAAGGGAACACGAATCACCCTGGCGGATTCCTTCAAAATTGTGTCCTAAGTGAAGGATCCCGTAGAGGGACAGCCAATGGGTAGATTTTGCCTGCCACTCCCCCAATGGACCAGTTGTTACAAGAGCCATGCACTTTTTGGGGTTGTAAGGTTTCCAGAAATCAGCACTCGAGTGCCGTTGCCTCAAGTACTAACGTTGAGGATCTGAACGCTTCTGTTCTGCATATTGCGATGACCGATGGGCCTGTCAGGGCCGCTCAACGGCTAAGAACGAAGATTGGCCCTTCGGGAAGCCACTCGCAACCGCTTCGAAAGGACTCAGCGGTTCGCCTTCCGTGAAGATTCTCATGCCGCCCCCGTTGCGCCAAGCCTTGCACTTACATGTGTTCCAGTGGGCCCAGCTCCTTCGAGCTGGCGCCTCTTCCGCACATCTCACTTGAGCCGTTCGCTCTCACTTGCCTTTGCCAGAGCCCTTCACCAAACTCCAGCCGTTCGCTCTCGATCCGCGGCGACCGACACCCGGACGAATCACGTGGGTCAGAATGACCCCTAGAACCAAAATCGGCCATTCCAAAGGTGCCACCACAAAACTGAAGTAAGGAACCCAAGGACCTTCGTGGCCAGATCAAGCTTCACGTGACCCAAAGAAGAAGGCGCCTTGAAAGCGCACACGAGGCGCCAACAGGGTCCCTTGCCTTGGCCTTTGCTGTTTACTCTGTGTGGAGCCCCATGAATCGGGCTGGATATCCCGCACCAGTGCCCAGTTAATTCACCCAGCGCAAGATCATTGCCATTGGCAATATTGCCAGAACCCGCCTATCAGCGTTGGCCTTCGGGGAACCAATTCAGCATCAGCTTTCCCATGTTTGGAACCACAAATCCAAATCACCAAGGGTTACCTTCATCCAATGCTGACCTTTACAGGCCCTTCCGGCACATACTCAGGCGGGGGTTTAGGTCCGAGGACCCCAAACGTATTTCGTAGGGTATTGTTTTCGAGCACGGGTGGACTCAGATGTACTCAGATTGACCAACACGAAAAAGGATCCAACACCCCCAAGTCTCAACCCTAGGCTGGAATAAGCCAAACATGGTCAACAAAAGGCAGGCAGATTCTCTCAGCTTAGATAGGTGCAGTTTCTCGCCGAAACCCTTGGCAGCTCTTTCGTGCTTACACTCAGAATGCTGCACCAAACACTTGCATGAAACCACAAGAAGCTCCCCCCCCCCAAAAAAAAAAAAACACAACAAACAAAAACAAGGCATGTGCAGGCTCGCCTTTTTTTGGGCTGAGGTTTTCAAGGCTTTCAAAGGAAAACCCCCCGTCCCTTTCACCGCCACGGGCCTCGCATCCAGCTCCGGTCGAGCTCTGAGCTCCGCGCGCGGACTTGGGCCGCACGGTGGGCAGCAGCGTCTGGGCCATGCGCGGCACGGCGCGGGGGTAGGTGGGCGGCGGCCTGGCGCGGCGTTTTGTTTCCGGTTCCGGCGCAAGCGGCGGGGCCCAGTGGGTGCAAAGTTGAACGCTTGGTTGACGTTGGAAGGGGAGCAAAAACATATGTTTTAGCAGTTAAGTGAAGAGTTCCCACTAAACCACTATAAACAAACATGTAAAATGTCTCCCAAAAACATGCAAAGCGCGGAGTGTAGCGGTCAAAAAGGTTCAATGCTTTGTCCTTCTGTCTTTTTCCAACTTTGCCCCATCAAACATAGTCTTTGATCCGGTGCATCAGTGCAGTTTGAAGGCACACTTCATTTCGGCAGAGATTCAAGCAATTCACACAAGATACAAAACAAGTATCGTACCAACGCGTGCCGCAGGATGGCCCGGACAGCTGGGAACCAAGAAATCCGCCTGGCCTGAAAAGGGGCACTTTGCCGGGTGCTTGAAGCAATGAACCCCTTGACCCAACCTGACGCGCCTGGCCTGAGTTCCAGCGGGGTCGATTCTTGGCCAACGCTAGGATTCCAAGCAGTTCTTGCTTCATCAGATGGATAGGGGTCCTTTTTGAAGGTGCCCTCTTTTATCGGGGTTATCTTTGAGGGGAAACTAAAGGAAAAATGACCCCTATGGCCTGGTTTGAGACAAACCCATTTTAGCCAAGGCTAAGATGCATTGCAAAAAAGTGGGCCGAGAAGTCAGCCGCATGAAGCATGCCGCAGGCGCGGCTTGATGAGCGTCCTCTCACGGATGGGCTGCGGGCTGGTGCTGGAAGACCTACGCACTGCGGGAACCCAGTGACCTGTCATGAGCCTATGATCTGCAACTTTACAGCCACCCACCAGCCCCCCCCCCCCCCCCCTGCCGCAAAAATACATTGTTTTGGTCTGTCTTCTGAAACCACGGTGAAGCGAAGAGGTGTTGTGTTTTATTGGGGACCCGCCTGGCCACCAGGATTGCCCCATGCGCCGAGCAAGGCATTACCGCCCTGCGGGTTCGGAGAAGCATTCTGGTGAGACAGCCAAGCTCTAGGCCTTGGCTTCACCTGCGGCAATGCCCTGTGTCTGGGCCTTGGCGCAAGCTCTCCAACGAGTGGCTGCACCACAGAACCAGTGCTGCAGTGAACTCAACTCATCCAGAAAGCGGCTCTGCGGTTTTTGTGGACTCCACCTGCTCTCCTTTTGTTTCATTCTCTGTTAATACTCTTCCAAGTGCAGATTGGCGAATTCGGTACGCAAACCCTGGAGTTAGAACTTGAACATCACCCGCGGCGACGGCGAAGAACATCTGCAGCGCATGACTTGCTAAGTCTCTGACACTGGCACCTCCTCTTCTGTGTCGTTGGGGTCCATGATGCCCCTATCGAATTCCAGCCAAGCTGCGCAGACTCTGGACGTATCCGTGAGCTACCACCCAACATGTCTGGACACCGGCAACGTCATGCAACATGGGAATTCTTGGACAGCGGCGAACCACCCCCCAAGTTTGCCGTCGGCTGAAGGTCCGGTTGCGCCAACCGAGGCAATCTAATAGCCTCGCAAGAAACTGCGGCTCTACGCCGACCCCTGATGAATAAACCCGCAGTGAACTAATCAACTGCCTCCCTTTTTAGCGGGGATTCGGATTCCTTTCTCCCTTGACTACTCACTCGGGGGGCTTTCTCCGGGGTCGGTACAAGGATCAATCCCGCGCCTCATGGGCACTGCCCGTGGCGAGTTGCTCCCTGGGGCGCGGACATGTGCCACGCTGAAAGTTTGCCCAACAAGTGCGCGAGACGCGGCCAATGCGTCCGGAAATATCAAGGGCCCTCTCTTTCCAGTAGGTGGTGCACGGGGGGGGCACAAAAAATCAAGTGTCCTCTTGCGGCTTGCTTGTGTCAATGAGATGTCCCGTCCACCATGGTTCAGCCAAGGGTTGGCTCCCGCGCCTGGCTTTTCCGGAGGAGAAGATGACCTGACAAGCGAGGATACCAGAAGGCAGGACACCCCTTCATTGTTACAGGGTACAGGTCGTCTCTTGCGGCGTTTGGGGTCGCAGATTCTACGCCAGAATCCAAAACAACGATTGCCACAATGCCACATGGTCGCCATGAGTAGGCTGAAGGGCCTCCTGACAGCCCGGCCATTGTAGGGAGGTCTTGTTCTAGAGGGGGGGGGACCCTTGATATGTCTTTTCGGCGACGTCCCGCATCGTGCGTGAGGCAATCGATGGTAACTTGGGCAAGGGCCGCTCGCGAACACTGCCAAAACCCGCGGCCTAAAAGCAAAACATCAAGGTCGTCTGTGCTCGCTGAGGTGCGGCTGGGGTCAACGAGTTGGCCCCTCCCTGCTTGCCACGTTTGCAGCACGTCCTGAAAGCAAAATCGCCCAGTTGCGCGCAGGCACGGGTTGCCTGAAAGCGTCTGAGCTGCAACTCCTACAGGTGTTTGCCCGCGGATATGCCATTAACGTGCGCGCGTTCTCGGCGCAGGCGCAAAAAACTGAAAGCAGGAAAATGTGGGCCCAGGCCATGTGAAATGTAATTAGAACGCAGCGAGGGGTTCCAGGGAAGTTTGCCGTTTGCCCTTGTTGCGGGCTGTTTATGCGGCCTTCGCTTGCGACAGAAGTCCTTTCAGGAAAGTCTGTTTTCAGAAGGTTGAGAGGGCAGCCTTGCGAGGTGTCCTCGCGCGGAGCGCGGCAAAGATGCTCCCTTGGCTGCAGCCTTGGCTACAGCAAAAGGTAAGACGCCGGCCTTGGCTTTTAGGCCAGGCGAGCCACTCCAGCTTTGGCCATGAAATTCTGGAAAATCAAGACGTTGGGATGTAAGTCTGACTTCTTTTGGACAGCTGCAGCCTACGGCTGCTACAGCTAGGGTCGGAGACTTGGTGGTGCCTTCATTTCCACCCCTTGGAGTACCTTAAAGCCGTGGGTTGGCCCCAAACCAATTGAGCTTGAGTTGCTGGCTTTATGCCATCCAACATGGATATGGACCCCCATAAATGGTTCAGACCATCCTTAAAGCGGACAGACTCAACAAAAACAGGCACAGCCATGGTAAACAAATGTGCGCCTTGTCCCCAAAAGCGATCGGTGAGACATCCAACCAACTAGCCACCGAAGTTCATGTTGGCATGTGTTTGTGGGTTTGCTTCAAATGAGGGAACTCAAAAACCCCCCCAAAACTGGTGGCTTTCCTTTGGCCTCCCTTCAAACCCACCAAAAGGGAGGAGCTCCTGCGCTGATGCGCCCTTGAAGCGGGCGAGTGGTACAGGCGCACCCCAAGAGGTTTAAGCTGATTCCTCGGAGCCTTTCCCCGGGCACGGGCTCCAGTTGCCAACACCTGCTATGACTTTCTCACATCAAAGATGCTTCATTCATGCTTCAGATTCACTCGAACCTTCGCCAATTGAGGGGCCTACTTCCCTGCAAATTAGCATTGAGCTTAGCCAAGAGGAGTTTCCTCCAAGAGGAGTTTCCTCTGCGATGGCCTTGTAAGTTCCATGTTGGTGTGCAGGACAAAGAAAGTGGGGAAATATTGGGTTCAACATGTCCGTGTCTCGAAATGACAGACCCGAATCATGATTGAACTCCCGAAGCAACTGTCATGAAAGGAAATCCCGAAGCAACAATTGTAACTTGACCCCAAATCGACGCTACAGTTGACCCCACACAGCTACCTTAGCAAACTGAGCTGTTTGTTAATTATAGTCATATAACATCATATAATACAGTTGAACATAGCTACATGACCGAACACACGTTGCAACTGATTATGGCAAACACAGATCCCGTTGCAAATGAAAATGTGCTCCGTGCAAATAACATGGCGTGGCGTGTCACATTTCTAGTGTGAACAACAAATCAAGTATGAAACTACCAGTTCTTAGTTAAAACGCATGTTGTAGAGTTTGACAACATGGGATATGGTTCCAGCTGTGCATCCTCCATTCAATCCAGGGACTGCTCGTTTCGGAAAACTGCCCGACACCCAAGAACTTGAACAGTTTCACCAGCAAACAATGGGTGAAATGAATGGGGGCCCCCAAGCAAATTGGACCTACATCATGGTGAGCTCGATATTTCTACCTGGGAGGAACAACCAGGCAACCAACCAACCACCCAACCAAGCAAGAAACCGAGGAACCAACCAAGCAAGCCAGCAACCAACCAACCAACCAACCAACCAACCAACCGACCAACCGACCAACCGACCAACCGACCAAGCAACCAAGCAACCAAGCAACCAAGCAAGCAAGCAAGCAAGCAGGCAACCAATCCTCGAGGAACAAAGCGGCCAACCAACGAAACTGAAACAAACCCAACAAAACCAAACCGAACAGGCGATCACGAGGCCCGCTCGGCCTCGAGCCAGGCGTCTTTCCTTCCGCGGCCTTACTTCGTAAGGCCCTGACATATGCACTGAATGAATACACAAAGGGCTCTGTATGCTTGAGTAGCTTTCTGTACGCACATGCAAGAATTATTATACAATATGTATATTATCTATTTACTTTTCTTTTTTACTTCAAGTGTTCATGCCTATATGCATGCGTATTGATCACGTGGGTAATAAAAAAAACACCTTATATGACAGCTATGCATCAATACTAGACATGCAACACAACATGTCCGCCAACAACCGGTACAGGACTATACCCAATCAGATGATCCAACCCGCAGGCTCAATTCGGGACCACCCAAAAACGATACCCTGGTAATTTGTACATGTGTGTATATATATATATATATATATGTTTTTTCTGCATGCATGCGATGCATGCCTACCTTCATGTATACATATATACATATATAGTTATATATAAATGTCGCGTAACCGTATATTTACTGCTCGTTCCCGTGTGTGAAAGCCATGTGTCAAAATGAGAACCCCCTCATGCTAGTTACCGTAATGGCCCCCTAGTCTGGACGCACAGCCACGTGTCCGAGGCCAAGTCAGAATCAAAAGATTGCCATAGCATGAGAATCGTCACAGAACCTGGTGAACATTCCGACCGGTGGCACGGAGCAAAACACACTCTTTGTTTTGCAGCGAAGCCCACTAAACATGAACAGAACCCAAAAGAACAGCAAACCAAAAAAACAAGCCAACAACAGTGAAATGAACATTTCATGGGTTGCACATGTTGCCTAGCACCACGGCACATGGAACCACTGGGCCCTCGAGCGTTGCAAGTACGCTGGCCGGTGATGCTCTGCTAGGCTTCAATCGCGGTGCGCGTGTCTTTGAATGCAACCCTTTGGATGGTAGATGTCTGTGATTGTGCTTTTTTCAGTCAGGTGCTTTAGACCCAACTGGAAACTCAACCGTACCCTGCTTAGGGGTCAACTTGACTAATCTCCCGAAATTTCAACCGCCAGGTGTGATGTTCAACCAGAAGGGGCCCGATTTGGCCATTCTGAAGGGCTGGTGGTTTGTTTCGGGGGTTCTCCAAGGTATTTCATTGGGCCCACCCGACGTCAAAAAAATCGCCTCCAAAATGGGGTGCTCAAGGGAAAGAATCAGAACCTGGCAAACTGCTCGAGGGAAAGGGGTCCCATGGCGACCGAACTTCCGAAACCGCTCGCTGTGCGCCCGGCGGAGCTTCCTTTGTCGGCCCTGCCGGTGAGAATCGGATCGAGTGCCCGATGAGAAGAATCCCACAGCCACGTGGGTGTGTGCGTGTGTGTGTGTGTGTGTGTTCATTGTTTGATTTGGGGGTAATCTTTTTGGGGTTGGATGGGTTGGTTTAGACAAAGGAAACCCACCCATCTCCAGGGTTCCCCTACTTTCGAGGCAAGTCTAAGTACTGTGGCTCTGGAACCAGGGCATTGCACAGGAACGAAAATCACAATCCGCGGGTTCCTGCCTGCTGCAACTTAAGCTCAATCACTACACGTCTGCAAGGGGATGGATGGATGTCGCGGCTTGCCCTGTGGGGGCTAGCTTCCTCTAGAATTTACAACCATAGGTGGCCTTTTGGAAAATTAGATGGCCCTGGCAAATGAAATAAACCACATCTAAAGCAGGAATCCGCCCTCTAGTCTTGAAGCAAACCAACCAAAAAGGACACCTATGGCGGCGAGGCGGTTTCTATGGTTAGTTTGCTTCTTCATTTCTTGGGCGCCGACTCGTTTGCCAAACCGGTCCCAAAGCCGAGGTTGGGCGTGGTCCCAAAGCCGTGGCTCCCTGAATCGAGAGTCACCGATCCATCCACTCCGTCCATCCGTCCATCCGTCCAACTCGAAATTGCGGTTTCCCCTGCTTTCGGTTTACCATGGAAGTGTTCCTGGAGAGAGACAGATAGGCAGAAATCCGGAAAATGGAAAGAGAGATAGTAGATAGACAGATAGAGAGAGATAAAATGGACAACTAGATAGAGAGAGAGAGAGAGCACTACCACAACCCCCCTCCAAACAAACTCGTCTTGTTGGGCCTGGCTTTGTCTTTCCCAAACAGGTGAGAGGAAACTGGTCTACGTTTCTTGCTTGAACCCACCAAAGGCTTTGCCCAAACCCAAAGCGCCCGAAAAGGTTGCTTTTTGAACCAAAACAGACCCGGGGAACCAAAAGGTCAAAAGATGGGCCTTGGACAAAAAGAAAAAGGGGAATGCTGTGGAATGCTGTGGGCGAACGAAATCAATATCGCACCACTTGGGACAGATGCAACCCCACAAATCATTGTTGATAAACCTCCAAAAGTTACAAAAGTGACTGCTAGCTTCCAGCGAAGCCACGGTCCGAACATAGGGGAACTGAGGCATAAACCTCCTACCTGGTGCGAAATTTGGATCCTATGCGGATTTTTGTTAGGGGACCCCAGGCATGGCTTCGGTTTTCCTTTTGGTTTTCCTTTTGGTTTCCGTTTGGTTTCCCCTATTTTTTAACCCCATATTGACCAACCCCGGTTTATTCATAGGGGGGTGTCCATTTCTGGGTTTAGTGGGGATTCAGACCACTGTTGGAGGGGCCTCCAGCCCCCTATCATCAAAAAACAGGGGTTTGTTCATCAGGGGCTTCCATTTGAGCCACAAAACCGGAGTGCCCTCATACTGTGGATGGACGAAATCCTGCACCAGCCATGGAAGGATGATTCCCCTCTATATAAATACCAACGAAGAACGGTTTCCCATGGTTTCCAAGTGGTGCTTAAGATGGATTTGGCCCCATCAGTATCTATAAAACAGGGGGTTTGTTCGTCCATTCCCATAGCCACAACACCGGGGCGCCCTCATCCCTTACCCCGGGCTCCGCGGAGCTTCGCTCGCGCCGAGGGGCGTCTTCGCATTGTCGGCGGCGGAGGTCCGGGGCGAGGTGCCCTGAGCCGGTCGCGCCGTCGCCCGGGCGGCGCGGTTTACCGCCAAAACGACGGCCGGGGGCGAACGAGGCCATGTCAAACGCAGCAAATGGCAGGATGAACCCATGAAAAAGCTGGAAATGCAGGAAATGATGCAAGGACCCTGGGGTGAACCTGGGGATTCCCTAGGGGAATGACATGATGAACAAATGAAAATGCGGGAAATGTACGAGGGCATGAACCGCTTTGGGATTTTCGAAGAAAGGACACCATAGGGGATGGTTCATATGGGTCATTGCACCCTTCCCTGCTGAGTACCAGCAAGGTGACAATGCCGGAAATTCAGGGAAAAGCTTGGGTTGCAAAAGGGCTATCCTGGTACAAAGATTCATAAATCATGTTGAACAACCAAATGCCCACCTATATCCACCAAAATGATAACGACTTCATCCAAATATCCACCAGGCTCCTGTAAAGAAGTCTTACCAGGGCGTGCGTAAAAAGTCTAGAACAAAACGACAAGAGCAACAATAACTTAACGAAACCAATCATGAGGCAATGATACTGCTAGTTGTTATGCCAAACAAGCAAGCATAAGCAAGCAAGCACCAGAAGCAACCAAAGAAACAGACTGACTCAAATCAGGTTAGGGAAACAAACAACGCGAACATGAAGGTCACACCAACATAAAGCATACCCTCTGGGAACATGATATAAAGGCAATATTCTATATAAATATCATAAGACTACTCAAACCCTGAGGCAACAACCATGTGCCACAAGTCACAAGTCAGGGTCTCCCTGGTTCCCTTTAAGGGCTTCCCTTTCAACCAACCTGGCGGGGATAGCTTCAAGTCCACGCAGATCTCACATTATCAGCTTCTGGTTCGGATTGGTGGCTCCCTGACAGATACAACACACAAACCAAACAGCTAGGGCTGTGGGCCCTGAGAGAAATCCGCGAAACGGAAGTTGGAGCACAAACTGGAACAAAGTTTGCCGAGCTTGCTCCTCAAAATAGGGGACCAAATGAGGACTGGTTTCCGGGTTTCCCTTCCAAACTATCCGAGAGAGGATGCCCTGAACAAAAGGCAGGCCATGAGCTCAAAGTCATGGTCACGTATTTCAAGCCGATGGCTGATGCCATCCGGCCCTCTAAGACGCACCACCGTTCAGAGAAGGCCTGGAATGATGTGGCCCCGTTTCAAAGCGGCACGGAATGGATTTCGCAACCATCCACGGTATGGAGGAGGACGTGCGCGGCCATTGTAGGGGCTTAAAGGTTGAAAGGCAAGATGGGTTGCCCACTTTTTTAGGGAGTGCTGAACTGAAGGGTTCTGGGGGATTTGCAGGTGACATTGCGCCGGTGAAAGCTTGAAGGGTTGAGGTTGGCAACGCCAGTGACTCCTGAGAGCTGCCAGAAAAGAAGAGGACACCTTGGAGCATGAGAGCTGCCAAAAAAAGAGGACAAAGCAAGAGGCCGGATCCCTCTCCCAGGTGAAAAACCACACCAATGTTCGACCGTCCAAAAAACAAAGTGTGGTTTCGGGGTGCCTCTTTCAAAAGCGGCAAGCCGACCTTTGTACAAAATGTAGGTGGCATCCCCGAGGGCAAATTGTGGAGTCTCTCCAGAACACGACCTTGGAGCTGCTCCGGACTCCGGGAGCTAGCTGCATGCGAGGGCAAATGAATGCTCTGCTGCTGCTTCATATTTTGTCCGACCTTTAGCAAGCGTCGCCTTTGACCACCCCCAGTTGGCGCACCAAAATTCTCCAACTGCCGCCTCCCCCACTGCCCACTGCCCTCCCCCCCCCACTTCCCCCCCCTGACCCCCCCCCCCCCCACTCCCCCCCCCAACCAAACCGCGAAAGACGCCGCCGGGCCGCCAAGGGCGACGAGGAGCCGAAGCGGGACGGCGCAAACCGCCGCGGGTCGGAGCCGGAGGCGGCGGAGCGCGGAGTCCTGACGCAACCAAACCCAGCGGGTTTACGCGGGGATCAGCCAACCTGGGGACGCCTCCAAAGTTTGCTTAAGTTTGGTCCTCTGGATAAATTTGCGTCTTCGGGTATTGGAAAAAGAAACAACATGGAACCTGTACTCCAAAGAAATTTCCTGACTCCCATTTGAGCGGTTTCGCACCCTAAAAAAACCCGCCAATACTGGGGTTGCAAAATCAGTCGATTCCCCAACGTATGGTTTCAACCGTGGTTCAAAGTGGTGCAGGATTTCGTCCATCCACAGTGTTTCAAGTAGTGATAAATGGAAGCGTGTGTCACTTTGTGTGCAGAACTACCCCCCCTGACTGAGGGGTCGCTCCATCTTCGTGAACAGGAGGGTACAGCTAATACAAACAGTTGGTACAGTACCAAAGCTTTGAATCAGCTAGCCATTCTGAGCGTCTCAAAATAGAGGAGCCTTCAAAACAGGTGGTTTCTCTTTGATTTCTCTTTTAAAAACAACCTTAAGGCAGGGTACCCCCCCAAAAATAGGACTCACCCAAATGACATGGTCTCTCCTTGAGTTGCTACCCCCCTGGGTTTCCATTGAATTCCACGCATGGGGTTGGCCTTCTTTGCGGTACCGTTTTCAGATGAGTTCAGGTTGCCTCTGAAAGAAAACCAAGGAAGACCGCCATTGCTACCCGGGTCGCATCCTTTTCGGCCATAATTATGAAACCAAACAAAACCCGCCAGAAGTTCCCCGAAGCTCTTTCAACCACCCAGCTTTTCGCCGAAGTTCTTTCAACCATGCCATTCCTGGGATGCCCGCATCAGATCGGATCGGCCTCCAGGACTTTGCAGAGGGCGGCCGCGAGTGTGCGGTGTTCAGACGTCGCATGGTGCGCCTGGCCGAGCGCTTCGCGACTCGCCCGATACATTGGCCGCGCGCACCAAAGGCCAAACCGGGAAAATCCGAGGGTCCCTGACAGTCCCTGACTCTCAGAAAAAGCTCCGCGAAGAAGACCGGAGGAAGGGATCTGTTCAGTCTGTTGGTCCTTTTGCGCTCAGAAAATCAAGTTCCTTCCAGGTGGCTTTTTTTTTGGCTGGTGGGAAAGAAGCAAAAACGCGGCCACGCCTGGGACTTGGGACCGTCCCCATTCCGCCAGCCGGTCCTTCATTGCGGGTACGATGTTTCGTTTAGGACTTCTGGCATAGGTTATAGGGGATAGGGATTGAGCCTGAACCCAGGTTTCCTTTTTGAGCTCTTCTACTTCGGGACGAGATCTTCCATGTGTCCCGAAGTCTTCGCGAGATGGTGGAAGCCAATGCCTCCCCCAAAGAAAAAGTATAGACTTCCAACACCCTTCTGCCGCGTTTCATTGGAAAAGAGGGTTACTCAAATTGCAGGGATGAGTATCCAACCTTTGTTCGAAAAAACATGTGGAAAGATCAAAGTGTTTGCAACCTCCAGCCAAACCTGAACAGAACCCGGGTGCAAAGATCAAGGTGTTTGCAGCCTCCGGCCAAAACTGAACAGAACACCCTCCACCCCTCAAAAAAAACAAAGAACAAAGAACAAAACACCTGCCAAGCGCAGTGCTGCAAAACACCTTGTGCCTTTGCGATTTGCAACCTCCGACTTCCAAAGCACAAAAGCCAAACAAACAAAGAAGTACATGCTAAACCAAAACACATACACACACACACACAAAAAAAATGCTGCCCAAACCGATGGAAGGAACGGAAAACGCCTCCAAACCGATATAGAGAGGAGCACCATGGAGCACCCCGGCGCCCGGCGGCCCAGTGCCACCTGCTGCCCACCACCGAGACCACTTCTGCCGCCACGGAGGACAACTCCGCGAAGTCGTGGGACACGGGCGTGATCTCAGCGTAAGTCCCAGGCCATGCGGCTTGCGCGTGGTTGGGGGAGGGCGGGGGGAAGGGAAGGTTGGGGGGAAGGTGGGAGGAGTCAGGGGTGGGTCACTCTCGGCACCTTGGTGGGGTGCGAAATCCGCTCGCACCACCGTTCACAAACGCTATGGTTTCAACCACGGTTTCAAAGTGGTGCAGGATTTCGTCCACCCACAGTACCTCAACAGGGAGGGAGGGAAATTCCCAATTCCATTTTGCAAGTTCAACGGCGAGGGAAATCTCGCAATTCCATTGTGCAAGTCTCCTGCAGAATGGAAAATGGAACCCTGTTTGGGCTTGGTTCCCATTCTTTTCATTCCATGACTCGAGGAGGCTTCAAGCGTAGCCTATCCCGACCCCTAAGTGGAAATCATTAGGCTCCCCCCCCCCCAGGTGGTTGGGGCTCCTTTGGAATGTCCTTTCGGTTCCCTTTGGGTTTCCTGGTCAAACCATCCAAGACGGCTTGATTGCCATCCACTAACTCGAGGGGCCCCTGTCCACATCCATGAAGGCCCTCTTTCATCTACATCTCCTAACTCACTTCCCGGCTGGGCTGGCCATGGCTGGCCAAACAAAACTTATGAACTCTTTGTTTCATACCGAAATGGTCTTACCAATATCTATTTACCAGTCCAGAAACTTAGGAAGTGAGCCGATGGTTTCCCCGAAGAAAAACCAACTTCCCAATTTGGCGCTTCAACAGGGTTGCCTCAGAGCACATCCCGCAAACAACCGTCCCTCACTGAGGCCTTGCCATGAGAAGTGCCTGACTTGGGCTGGAAGCCTCGTGCCCCTACTGATGGTTGCAAAATCCATTTCGAACCAGCTAAAACTACCCCCATGGTGACTCCACCCACCAATAGATGGCCTTCTCTAGTTGACAACATCGCATTTGCCAGGTGATTAAGTGTCGGATACATGACGGGTAACCCGGGTTTACTCGGTGGGGGGGGGGGGTGGACATCGCTTAAAAAATGAGGGGGTGGTTGCCCACTCAGCCATGTTCAAGGGTGGTCCCAGTCAGTAGCCACATCCTTCTGCCTCTGCTGCTTTCGCGTGGCACTGGGCCTCCAGCGCTCCCACAGTACGGCACATCTGATGGCGAACTCCGTACTGCGCGCAGCATGGCGGTGGTCCAGCATGTTTATGTTACATTACTGTTTTAATTGTTCCTCTCATTCGTTCTTGCTTGCTTTCTGTCTTTCTGTCTGTCTATCTGTCTGTCGTTCATTCCTTCCTTCATTCCTAGCCTCTCTCTCTCTCTCTATTTCTCCATTCTGCTTTTGCATCCAAAAAGTCCCATGAAGTGCGTGATCTTCTACCGCGACGTGAAACATGCAGCTGCATCCCTGATTTCAGGCGGAATTGTAAAGTTGGCAGATGGGTTGACAGCAATAGGCAGAAACTGGTCAAAGAGCCCCATTCAAGGGAAACCAATTCAAGGTGAGTTAAACAACTTATATGTTTCGACAGGGGGGTGGCCCATACTCCTGTGGCCAGAAATGTGGTTCCTTTGGTTTCCCCTTCCCTGGCCTTGGACATCTCACCCTCCCAGAGAAAACACCCAGTCCATTGGCCCTGACAGGATGTCTGGAGCATGGTGCTCGGCTTCCCTTTCATTTCCCCTTGGCCAAGTTGAGGTCTGCAAATGGGTTTGGCCCCTTGAAGGTCCCAAGATGGGAGTCCGGAACGGGCCGACGACCATCTATTGGTTCGCCCCCGGAAACCACAGGCCACGTTTTCTCGCGTCCATTCCTTTAGCCAGGTGAGCTGGGCTCCCTGAAAGGCAAGCCTTGGTGGCAAGCCTTGGTGGCCCAAGGTTCCAGGCGCCATTTCCCTATCGGGCCCCAGGTTGGACGAATTTTCTTGGGTTGGTGGGGTGACAATTCCTCAAGTGGCATTGCGCCATCTACGTTCACCCAACTATCCACAGCTTTGCCCTTCTGGGGCAAGGGCATAGGGTTCCAGGTGCTCTTGCTACAAGTCACTAAGGGATGAGCCTCGTTTTACCCCCAGCTGATCTCGACTAGGCATGTTCAAACACCCCAACTTTGCTTACCATAGACGCCCCCCCCTCCCCGCACTCCCCAGTAACCCATAGACGGCCCCTGCCTGGAAACGTTCGGCGGCTGGCGGGAGAAAGCGGGGAGATGGGAAGCCGGATGTCATGAGCAAAGAGAGGCCTCAGCGCTCGGCTCGATGTTTGGCTCCGCTTTGGCTTCCCTTTCGCTTCTCCCACGCCCGCCGCCCTAACCCCCCACCCCCCCCCCAAAAAAAACAAAAAACAAAACAAAAAACAAAAAACAACCGGGGAAATTCAAAGGAAGGGTTTCCATTGGGCTTTCTGCTTTCCAATGAAGGGGTTCCCTTGGGAGTCCGGTTTCACCTGTGGCTTCCCTTTTCGACCATACCAAAAGAGGCAAAGTACAACAGACCCTCCCAAGCCCAAGCTGGGTGCAGGGGAACACCATCCATTTTGGGCGCCTGTGAGAACTACCTACATACCAGTCATCACAAGTTCCTTCAAGACCAACCTAGACATAAGCCGCCCAAGTCCCAGGCCCGGTTGCCCGGTTGCGCCGGTTGTTCCAGAAAGTGTGCTGGCACGAGGCTTCGAGGTGTCATGTCGCAGACCCTCGCCACATGCAGGCAAGCAGCTCATCCAAGGTCTTCCTCAGCATTGCGAAATTCGAATCGAGTCGTGACTCGGTGGTGTTTGCCTCCTGGGGTTTATACCCACTTGACATTTAAGAAGACCTGAAAATTAAGAGCTCCTTGCAGGACTCGGCTACGGACCCGTTGCAATGGGAAGCCAAAAGTTTCCTGATCCAAAGTTACCAGCCGATAGGGGACAGCACGATGCTGTCCCAAATCTGCGAAGCAAAAGCGAAGAATCAATCACCCGTACCCCAACCCGAACACAACCTCAACCAAGCCTGAATAACCTTAGCCAAACTGAATCAACCTAAACCCACCTAAAACCCAACCGAAACCCTAAACCCACCTAAAACTCAACCAAAACCCTAAACCCACCTAAAACCCAACCAAAAATAACCAAAACCTCAAACCCACCTAAACCCACCCAAAACCCTAAACCCACCTAAACCCACCTAAACCAAAACCAAACCCACCCAAACCCCACGCAAACCCCACCCAAACCCAAACCAAACCCAAACCAAACCCACCCAAACCCAAATCAAACCCGCCACCCTGGCCCCGCCTCAAGTTGCTGGCGTTCTCCATGATCAGCTGCCGCAGCATGCTGGGCGCCGAGCGGCTCCGCGGCGGGTCCACCTCACGCCGCCGGTCGGAGATCGCAGGTCGAACCGGTTTCCCTTTTTCAGAACCTGACGCTCAACAGCCTTTTTTTGTTTTTGTATTTTTTCTTTGTTCTTGTTCTTTTTTATTTCTCCAGTGTTTATCTTTCCGGCTTTTGCAGGCGTCCCGGACTCTTTCTTGTTTTGTGTTCCCATCAAAAACCTCACCCCTACCAAGGGCAACTCAGCTTAGATAGGCCAAACCCAAAACGAGAAATATAGGGACAGTCAAATCAGCTTTGTAGTTGAGCATTCGAACAACACCTTGGTCAGAACCTGAGAAGCATATCTCTCCAGAAATCGGCAACCAAAAAGAAAGAGAACTTCTTGAATCACCGCAAACATGAGATCACAAGAACCTTATGAAGTCCGGAGACTGGGCTGGAGTGAGTATTCAGCTTCCCTCTAATGGGTGGTTTGGAGCCGGATCGGTTGGTGGTGAATCGGTGGTTTGGTAAACCCCATGTAACCTCCAATCTAAACCAAGGGTTTCCTGATCAAAGACGGCCGTGCAATCCCGACTGCCATGGGATTCTGAAGCACCCGCATTTCCGGAGTGTCCTCCATGTCCGTTCAAAAGGCCAAACAAAAGGTTTGCTAAGAAAAAAACATGAATCAGCACATGCCAACGGCGAGGTTTGGGGAAAGAAGTTGAATCCAACTTGCCCAGTTTGGACCTGGAAATCAATGGCTAGAAGCTTGTGGGGCCATGACTCAAAGTGAGTTGCAAAATAGGGAAAAGCAAAAGGTCAAAAGGTCGGCTTTGGACAAGTGAGTCGGTTAAACAATGTTAAACATCTGATTTGTCGGGGGTGGGCATCCAAGGTGCCAGATTCGGACCCAGAAAATGGACCCAATGGATTTGAACCGAATGCTCGCTCAGGTAGAATCTTCCCTGCAAGACTCAACCCCAACACTGTTCGGCTTCCCTCCCGTGCGGGGTTTGGAGGTTAGGAGCGGCGTCCCTTTCATCTAACAGGGGGCAGCCCAAAAACTCATCCAACCCACCAAATAGGGTGACCTGATTACTTGTGTTCCGACCTGGGGGGGGGGGGGGGGACGATCCAACCAGCCCCCCAGAGGGCGACCTAGAGTGATGAAAGCTCAGCTTCAAGCCTCTTGGAAAAGGAGGACTCTGTCCATCAGATCAATTCGACACACCGTCCATCCCGGCTTGTTTGGCAGGAATGTGTCCATCCGTAGATTTTAACCCTAGTTTCCTCCTGCAACCTCCGAATCAGGCATGAAACCCTTAGTAGGGCCGTATTTCGGGGAAACAGGGTGGCTGGAATGCAAGCCATAGGCTTCTACAATACCCCAATCCTCCCACTTATAACCAGGGGTTGAACACCAAAGTGGGAGACCAACAACAGGGGTCTTAAAGTCTTGAACTATCCAACATGCCCCCCCGGAGTGAACAACAAAAACCAAAGCAAAGAAGTGGTGTCCTTCTGGCCTGTTAGAAAGGGCAACCCTTTCCAGCTGCGGAATTGTATCCTAGAAGCAAGATTGAACAATGGGTGACTGGATCCCAAATAAGGTTTGCTGCCAACGGAACGTCCAATGAAGGGTCAAGGACATGGCACTCCTCATGCAAAGAAGGGAATAGCGGTTTTGTCCTTCAAATTCAGCCGGTTCACATGAAAAACGTTGCAGTTGACAACCAGGACCGAGATCCCACGTTGGCTCTGTGTCGACCATGTTCTAAACGACTCGGCAGCTCGGGGGCCTGCCTTGCGTCGGCGCTTGCCCTCAGGCAGCAATTTCAACTCGCACGCGGGGTGCTTTTACCCGACACCCAGAGCTGTTCCCTTGCTATATGAATCTTTATGATGCCGTCTTGGGGCCGGGGAGAAAAAACAAAAACGGGCGAACAGTTGGAACCCTTTTCGGGGTTCATCATTTTCGTGGGGCAAAGGGCGAATGGGTGCCATTTGGCAAAATCGCCCGGCCAGCCCTCTTTGGGTGAAGCAAACCCAGGAACTGACCAGTTCTAGGTTTCCAGGAGCCAACCTTAGGACGCACCGCGGTATCCTACCATTAACATGAAACCCGAAGGGAGGCCCCAGAACATATGACTTGAGAACGGCAGCTTTGACCAACTGAGGTTAGTCAAAAGAACCCCGAAAGATGCGAAAACACACAAGAAATGGTAGCACGGACGCCTGCAAGAGGTCAGAGTCAGAGTCATGCCCCAATCAACCCAAGGCCCTTACTAGAAGCCTGCCGTTGGCATGGCAACTTGAGCATTCAAACAACACCTTGTTCATAACCTGAGAAGCCGAAAAAAACACACCATTAGACGCCCCTCATTTTCTCACGGCGAATCGGAAGCCAAAAAGACAGAGAGCTTTCACTTCAAACATCTCGCAACAACCACAAATGGCCATGGGTCAAAATCCCGTACCCCCAGTGAACATCCCAATCCCCACTAAAATAGACTAAAATGGGCGGTGCACCTACCCGAACATGGTACCATTGGTTTTGACCCACAGCCAAATGAAGCCCAAAGACTGGGCTGTGAGTTTTGAGACCTTCGCACGGCACACGTCTCAGCGGCCGGCCAGAACTCCCGCAGAATGCGGCCGCTGAACACCGCCGTTCTCCGTGCCGCCCGCCTCAGGGAATCGAATCGGGACCTTCCAACCCCCCCCCCCCCCCAAGGGTTCACGGGGTGGGCACTGGGGTCGGGTCTCTGTCGCAGTGCCTTTGGCTTTCGATGGTTTTCGATTGCCCGCAAGGGTGCGCCCCACAAAGCCCCCATAGGCCCGAACCTGTAAATCAACCCTCGGAGAAGAAGATGAGCGCTGCATTGTTTGAGGGAACCCCATGCGTCTTTTTTCCTTAGGGTTACCTTGAATGTTTCTGAATCATTGGATGTTCTGAGGGCTCTAATCTCAGCTTCAGTTTCCACCTCTATGACAATGGCCGTACCCTGGGTTGGACATCCAAGTCGTAGATAACGTGACATGTTCTGTACGGACTTTCAAGGCTGGTTCCCTTGACCATACGTGCTATAGCGGCATGGACACACTGGGCTTACCTTGACCCTCAAAAGTACACTCAATATGATAATATGATGATTAAAAGGACTTCTCCGCCCCAAAACATAGTTTGAGTCCTCAACATGTTGACTTGACCCTCAAAAGTACACTTAATATGGTGATTGAAAGGACTTTGCAGGACCCAGTAGTTTGGATAGGTGAGACATTCCCCCTCAAAAAGCTCACTTTTCAGGACCCAGTATTTTGGATCGGCCCCTCTAACTGCAGGAATGCAAATGGACCAGTTCACCTCCTCCGCGTTTTTTCGTTTTCGCCGAAGCGCCCAGGACTCCGCGTGCCGCAGCCGAGGAGTCAAGGAGGTGTCGCGGCTGACGGCGTCCTGCGGAAAAAAGAAAGACAAGCGAAACAGGAGCTTGGCTCAACCATGGGATACCTAAAAGAGGTACCTTTGCTTCAACCACTTCTTGGCTCAACCACATCTTGGCTCAACTATTTTGGCTCAACAATGGTTCCTTTTGCTTCCCCCAAATGGCCATAAAGACCACCAAAACGCGAAGCAGAATGGGTTACCCAGAGCGCTTGGTTTCCTTTTGCTTCGCCTTTTTCAATCCGCCCAAGAGAGGCCACAGGGAGTCCCAGAATCCTGGGCCCAAACTACTGTGAGTCTGGGAGAGGGAACAACTGCAGGCTGCAACAACAAAAACACCACGCGGTCGTTGGGGCAACGTAAGACCAGATGACCATACAAATGGATAATTCGTCCTTCTTCAATCCTTTCTATCGGGCTGTTGTGCATGTTGGGTCCCAGAGGCGCTGAAGGTGCTCCATAGGGGCCCTGATGGATCAAATCCGCGCCAGGCTGGCGGTCATCCTGAATTTGTGGTCTCATCCATGCAGGATGTTGCCGCTTCAAAGCAAGGGCCTCCGCGTGCCTTCATTTCCATTGCGGACAAATCTGCTTCCCCTGTTCCCCGTTCGCCCGCTTCACAGCCTGAGCTGTGCCACCTGGTTGGAGCATCATCTTTTGGGCTGCTGGGACTTAAAAATAGTCAACGCGAGAACCGACATGTGAAAAGACTTCGACAAGGGGTCAAGCGCTATCCGCTCCAGCTTCGAGCCAGGCCGGGGCAACATGCAGCCAACATACCACTCTTCTTTGGGGGTAGTGGTTCGGGGGTAGTGGGAACCACCAAAGATGCTGACAGGACATGTCCATGCGCGAAGAGTATGCCAAAGCAACTTCACGATGTTCCATTGCAGAAGTAAGTCTGGTGTTGAACTGACTGAAAAACACTCGGACTCCTCATGTGTGCCAACATGCCAGTGGGACGAGTATGGACAAGCGCGGGTCACTTGCTCTGTATGACTTGGCCAGATCCAATCGCTTTGGGGTCATCGAAACTTGGGGGATCTTCAATCCTAATCCGGAACCCTAGTGGGACACCATGTAAAGGGAGACCACTACCCTCCTGCACAAATCTGGTATACGGATCTTGCTATGATTAGAGTTAGGCCCAGTTATAGAATATATTATTTTGTTGTTTGCTTCACTTTGAGTGAATGGCAAAATGTAAAATGTATCCTAAGTCTACCCCAGTTGCGGAGGTTTTTGGCTGGACTTTCCACAGCCCAGATAGCTACGAGCCCAGCATTGCTCCATTGCTCCTCGTAGAGGCGGCTAAAGACACTCCGGCTGCATGTTTCCCGGATGAGGGCTGCCTGTGACATGCAGTCGCTTGCAATGGCCAAACATGGGACATACTGTGGATGGTTGCGAGACCCATGTCGCACCACAGAAAAAACCCTGGAATGACTCCCTGCAAAAACCAGCCAGCAATGGTTTCCCGTGAATTCAAAGTGGTGCAGAATTTGGTCCATCCACAGTACGGAGACGAATGAAAGAATAACCCCCCAAGTCACCTTTTCGCCTGCAACCCATTGCAGGAAAGCCTGAGACATCTATCCAGGCCTGTTTCTCAGAGGTCAACGTTGCGGATTTTGCCGCGTCATGCGACTTTGTACCCAGCCCCTCCGCCAGTGGGTTGAGGCCTTTCGGTGGTATGGCAGGCAGGTACCCCGACACTCCCCCACGCTATGCTCGAGAACTAAACCACTAACAAAAATATAACCTTCAGCCTTCAGGCCAAATTATGCCTTTAGATGGTCTGGGAGGGAGCTATTTTGCTAATAACCCTGGCCCCGTTGTTTTACAGGGGGTCATCTGGGGTCTAAACAGTATAGTTGCTAACCACTTAGCTGAGTTAGTTCCCAGACCATTTCAATACCCATCAGGAGGGGACCTACGACAAAATCATTTGGGCATGCAGCCACAGGAGGCCTCTTCGTGATCGTGGCCCTCCATCTGCTCAGCCAGCCTTGGGCTGCAGTCTTGAATGACTGACTGACAAGCACACCTTAACTCCCAACCAGCAGGCTTGCGTTTCTTAAGCTGGAGCCATCCAGGTCCTTGATGGTGGTCGGCCCCCTTTGAGTTTCCGTTTCTTCAAAAAGCATTGGACACCCCAACTGGCACGCGCACCAAAACGCCCCGCCTTTTTTGCCAAGGCAGCCCCCTGATTCCCATTCCAGTGCGCATGGTTACGCAAAGGTTCGGACATGTGGCACAAGTTTGTGCCACATTCTGATCATGCTAAAGTTCTATTCATGGCTGACCCAAGCTTAGGGCGAGCCCTATCTCCTGCGCAAAATTCCAATCTTGGGTGTACTTCGTCGTATGCCCCAAACAGAGCGGTTGCTGAAAGGCAAGCTCGGTCCGGCGATGGCTGAATCCCCCTTCTTGACCGGCACCTCACCCTCTGTTTCACAGATTACTTGAGGGGCAAGCTAGGCAGCGAAATTGAAGGAGACATACTGTGGACGGACGCAATCCTGCACCACTGTGAATGCATGGTTGAAACCATTGCTTGGTGGTTTTTACAGGGGAATCGAATCGAACACCAGGGTTTCTCAGGTGGTGCGACATGGATCTCGCAACCATCCACAATATCCAAGCGAGAAGAATCAACTCCGCTCACGTCACGTAACTGGCGTCAAAGGCCCTCCAACGGCACGAGCCTGAACACCTTTCAGGGGGCGTTTCGTTTGTGAACCACCTGCTGGAAGATGCTTCCGAAGTTGAGACAATGTCAAACCTGGCCTTTGAGGAACCTACCCGAACGAATAGTGCAGAAACCATAGGGCCGGAGATCCCCACTCACTTGACTATTTTTTGCACCGCCCCCTTTCCTAGCTGCGGTTTTAGTCCTGCAAAAAATGAAGAGCAAAGTGGACAGCCTTCGCTTTCAGGGCTCGGCTTCCTTTTGAGAAGGGAATGGAAAAGGAGGGTGCCTCTTGTTTTGGACACCCCTGAGAAAAAAAACAGAGACAAGGTTTGCTGTCTCAAAGCCTCTGAAACTGCATACCCATTTTTGTTTTAGTGGCTTGGCGGCAAGGGGGAGGGGCACATGAGTCACAATCAAACCCGGTATGAAAATGGTTGAGCCAGAATCATGTAAGGCAATACAAAGGTGGCCGCAGCTGTTTCTGGCTGGGATTGTCCCTTGCTAACCTTCATCTACTCGGGCATTGATTGTCACATGATCTTCCAAAGACTTCTCCACAAGGGCTGTGGGAATAGCTCCAGTGACCCCTGACAGGAAACCACGACGCCGTAGTTACTTGTAGAGGGTCATTCCGTCACATCACTGAGAACCGGCATTACACTTAGGGTTTTAAACCCTAAAGGTACACAAACACACAAACACAAAAACACACACAAAAAACCAAAAGCACAAACACATAAATAAGCACAAAAGGCACAAACACAAACCCACACACACAATAACACAAACACACAAACAAACACAAACACACAAACAAACAATCAATCAAACAAATAAACAAACAAACAAACAAACAAACAACAAACAAACAAACAAACAAACAAACAAACAAGCAAGCAAGCAAGCAAGCAAACCAACAAACAACCAACCAAACAAACAAACAAACAAACAAACAAACAAGCAAGCAAGCAAGCAAACCAACAAACAAACAAACAAACAAACAAACAAACAAACAAACAAGCAAACAAACAAGCAAACAAACAAAAAAAACTAACTAACTAACAAACAAACTAACTAGGTCACGGTTGCACTAGTCGCCTGGTGTTTTCGGAGCCGTCACTGTAAAAAAACGCTGGGTGTTTGCTCATTTCGCTCGCAGCGTGGCAGGCGTCAACATGCAAAACGACTTCGTTCCGCTAACTGCGCAGCCCTTTCGCCAATGCCCCCAACAAAGCATTGGGCGAAGCAGTTCCCACACTTCGCTTCCGCACGAATTGGTAAGTTCTTTGTTTCAAATCAACACACACACACATCCGAATTATTGAACATTTGCGGTGGAGCTGCGGAGGTTAGAGAGCGTTCAATGACTGCCATTCACGATCAATCGATTGAGTTCCATGAATCTTGGACAACTTGGAACTTCTGACATCATCTGAGTGTCTACAGAATCCTTTTCTTTGTGGTGGCTCACCTGATGAACGTCCTTCACTTTGACAATGCGAGCTGCCTTTAGAAACACCACGTTTGCTGACACAATTCAACAAGCCACTGGTCTCTAAATCTTCTCAGTCAGGGTCTGTAGACATCCCGACCGAGCCGTGAAAAGAACCGCAAGGACCGAACGCAATCATCCCCCCTCCCCCACCCCCACCCCACCCCCAGTTGGACGCGGCTGCGCTGAGTTGATAGGGGGAAAAGTAGCACTTGAGAAGAAAAATGACCCCCCCAGAAAAAAAAAAAGAAGTGTTTCATACCAGGCGACCAGCGCAACCGTGACCCACTAACAAACAAACAAACAAACAAACAAACAAACAAACAAACAAACACACAAACAAGTAAACAAACAAACAAACAAAACAAACAAACAAACAAACAAACAAACAAACAAACAAGCAAGCAAGCAAGCAAACAAACAAACAAACAAACACACAAACACACAAACAACACACTTCACAAACAAACAAGCAGTCAATCAATTAAACAAAACAAACACAGCACAACAAACAAGCAGGGCAACAGGACAAACAAACACAACACAACACAACAACCACACCAAACCAAGCAACCAACCTACCAACAAAATAATACATGACGAAATAAGGACGGACACAAAGAAAGAAGACAGAAAGAAACAAAGAAACAAAGAAAGACAAGACAAGACAAGACAAGACAAGAAAGAAAGGCAAGAAAGAAAGACAAGACAATAAAGAAATAAAGAAAGAACGAAAGGAAGGAACCCAAGAAGAAAAGAAACAAAGAAAGACATATGGATAGCAAAAACAAAACAAACGGAAGACAGACATAAAGATATGAATGACGAAGACATGAATAATGAAGTCACCAAAAAGACGGAAAATGATAATGACAGAAAGGAAAGAAAGAGCAGAAAGAAAAGAACAAACAAATATAAAATACATAAATAAGAACATAAAACAACTCCAATAAATAATGCAACAACCGAAAAACGGAAAGAACAAAATACACGCATAAAAAATATAAAACAAAACAAAGAGACATAAATCAACAAATGAAGAAACGCATATCACACATTCTGGCAGCAATCGAGTGTTTAAACAACGGCAGAAGCAAAGAAATATCAAATGACGAGAACACAACACAACCAACCAACTAAACAAAGCAAGCCCGCGTGCAAACACACAAACATCGACCGAAGGATCACCCAACACAAGAACACAATACAACAGCACAGCACGGAAACAAACCATCACACACGCACAAACACACAGACATACAAACATATAGGCACACAACCACAGAGACACACAGACACAAACACCCACACACACACACACACGCATGCAACAAGTAAGGGAAAAGCCAATCGACGCACACAAAAACACACGACATACAACAAAGCAAAACGTCACAACAAAACAACTTCTCACTTCCCCCACGCCACCCCCAAATCCTACGGAAATGTGTGAAGGCTGCGCGAAACACTGAGAAAACCAAACAACCAAACAAACAAACAAACAAACACACAAGAAACCACCGAGCAGACACAACAACAGGGTTTGCTCAAAGCGAAAACTGGGCCGTCCTCAAATCCCCTGCTGAAAGTTTAGCTTGTGGTAAGTTGAACTGGATGCCAGTGAACCACCAAGAAAAACTACAAAACAGAACTAACAACCAAGAAGACAGAAAACAAACGCCAGGTTGGTTCAAAGCCAGAAAATGGCAACGACCACGGGTTTCAGCGACCAAAGAAGTGCGCCCTGCCTTCCCCATCCTGCCCTTCGACAGCTGCCGTGAGCGCGGCCTTGCCTTCACCCCTGAGATCTGCAACTCCACTTTCGTGCCGCGGTGTGGCTCAGGGGTTTTGCTGCGGGCTGTCTCCTGCGTGGCCGGCTTCCTGATTTGGCGCTCTGAAGGTAAAACTGCTTTTTTGGGTGGATCGGCCAAATAAAGTCCAAACTTGTTGATTGCAACTGAGATCTTGCAAAACGTATAAGTCCAGGAACTCAGGAAGTGAGAAAAAGTATTCGGAGGGAAGCTTTTGAGATGCTTCTGAGCATGTTTCAATGGACCCAAGGCCAAGCAGGGAGATGTTCCGAAGGCTGCATCTCAGACCCTGCACTCGATCCTAAGGGGAATCAATATTGCGGCAATCAAAGAAAAGCCTTCACCAATTATCTAGCCTCGACTATCGATGAATCATCTTGAGGTTCGGAGCAATCTTGCCAGGGTTTAACTCTGTAAACCAGCCACAAGGAGTCCGCGTGGTCGACCTCCAGTTGCTGCGTCACGGATGTTGCGGGCGATGAGCGCTTTCTTGCCGTCTGATGAATCACTGAGCATGGGTTATAGTTCAGGGCCTGTTTCACCTGTTGTAAGCCACTATCGTTTACCCATCCTGCGTCAGATTTGCTGCTTCAACCAAGCTTCCAAGCTTGCAACAAAACTGCACATTAACAGGCCTGATGAAACAATTGGAGGAGAGGTGCTCCCCCAACAAGTGGAAAATATCCGCGAAAGAAGAACACCCCAATTTGGACAATGGTTTTCCTTCAGGCGCCCCTGTAACTTGCCGTTTAACCACCTCAGCCACAAAAGAATGCCGACCACTCACCGTTTCATAGCGATGCGACCGTCCCACCCATCGGCGGTTGGCTCCTTGCTGGGGTTTCGGGTGAGGTTCCAGCAGCAGTTCTGGCTGCAGGCCTCGCTTCATGGGATTACTTCCCCAAGCAACCAGTTGCTTAAGACCGCTGGAAAAATAAACAAATGTCTCGACGTGATAAATTCACGATAAAGCAACGTGGGGGAGCTAGAAGAAACGGACACCCGGGTTA